AAAGAAAACGTGGGCTCTATCCCCCCCCTCCCCCAGAGACGGCTCTCGTATTGCAGATGCGCAGTGAATGCAGAATCGACGGCTCAAAATTATCCGATACCCGTCCAGTAGCAGCTGATTATTTGAAGTCGATTGACAAAGCGCACTGGGACGCTTTCGGTGAGACATACAACCAGCCAACTTATGGCGAGATGACGTCTAACCTATGCAAATAATTGGTTGGCAATCAATATAGTCTGGTATCATTCCAGCAGCTGTCGCAAGAGCTGGGAAGAATGGCAATCCAATAGATCTGACGGAGCGACCAAAAACAGCGCAGGATATACCCGGAAACAGCATTTAATTAGAGGATACCGAGCAATTTGTAATAAAAGACATTGAGGAGCAAGCAGTAGAAAACGTCTTTCAGTATGAAGGAATAGAGGATACGTCCAAGAATATAAATGATGAAATTGACCTTTAACATCCGTAACTATGACGTTGAACAAGATTCAGACGGATCTCGGAAAAATTTAGTTTCTGAGGGTCCTGAAAACATTGTTTTTCCAGAATACGGAAATAGTTTTGACCCATTCGACTGCCCATGCTACTGCGAGCGAGATTGATGTAGCATCGCAGACGCAGGGATTTATTGCACATCCGAAAACTGTGCTCGCAAAGGACGATGCTAAAATAGTGTTTTTAGCTCTCGGGGGGGGGGAGGGGGCGCTGGTTCATACTCAGTTTGGATACGGAGTTCATGCAGGTGGTTATATTTCAGTTGGCGAGTACACTGGAGTGCTGGCTACACACAACTATAATTCGGACAAAGCGATGGTCGGCGAATAATCAGTATAGCAAAACCTGCTTGGCGGGCAAACTCTTTGTGCCGCTGAAGCAAGGCAGGCTTGGACGAAACGTGCTTTAAGCAATATTGCTTCCATAGCCCGCGATCGTGCCAAATTGAATGAGAGGTTCTGAATCTTGATTAGACGCTTCCACTCGATTTTTTGCCTTCTATTTTCGATTCTAGGCTATCCATGCGCTCATTCTAGCGCTTTACTGGCTGGGCTGACTGGTCAATGACAATACGCTGGTACTCAATGAGCGTGTGGTCTTGGATTATTTTCTTGAGTGTGCGTTTATATGTCTTCTGTGGTCGTTGGCAGCTTCGTATTGCAGGCAATATGGGTCGAATAAGCGAACAAGCTTTCAAGGTACAATCCTGCCAGATCCACACGAGCGTTTCGCACTGCCGTCGCCTCATTGGACACGCTTTTAAAAGAAGATACGAACGAACGTGACTTTTTTCTTTTGCAGCCACATAAGATGTGGAAGGTCGTCTCATTGTATTTATATTAGCGCTGGTTGCACAGGAGGCCTACATCAACTGGGAATGGCTTCTGGGCAGCTGAAACGCATGGATTGGTGAGTTGTAAAACCAGCGATATTGTCGGACCGTTACAAAGGATCGCTGGCTTCTATGACGAAGCTATATCCCGGTTGAGTCCACTGCTTCTGTGTACGTCACATCAACACTAACATTAAAAAGAAAACGTGGGCTCTACCCCCCCCCCTCCACCGGAGACGGCTCTCGTATTGCAGATGCGCAGTGAATGCAGAATCGACGGCTCAAAATTATCCGATACCCGTCCAGTAGCAGCTGATTATTTGAAGTCGATTGACAAAGCGCACTGGGACGCTTTCGGTGAGACATACAACCAGCCAACTTATGGCGAGATGACGTCTAACCTATGCAAATAATTGGTTGGCAATCAATATAGTCTGGTATCATTCCAGCAGCTGTCGCAAGAGCTGGAAAGAATGGCAATCCAATAGATCTGACGGAGCGACCAAAAACAGCGCAAGATATACCCGGAAACAGCATTTAATTAGAGGATACCGAGCAATTTGTAATAAAAGACATTGAGGAGCAAGCAGTAGAAAACGTCTTTCAGTATGAAGGAATAGAGGATACGTCCAAGAATATAAATGATGAAATTGACCTTTAACATCCGTAACTATGACGTTGAACAAGATTCAGACGGATCTCGGAAAAATTTAGTTTCTGAGGGTCCTGAAAACATTGTTTTTCCAGAATACGGAAATAGTTTTGACCCATTCGACTGCCCATGATACTGCGAGCGAGATTGATGTAGCATCGCAGACGCAGGGATTTATTGCACATCCGAAAACTGTGCTCGCAAAGGACGATGCTAAGATAGTGTTTTTAGCTCTCGGGGCAGCGTTGGCAAAGGCCTAGGGTTTCGGCACAAAGCGTTAAGTCCGGCCGGGTCCTTTGGCCTTTAATTGCGGCACAAGGCCTTTTTCGTTGATTCGGCCACGAGTCAAAATGTTGCGTTTTACTTAAAATACTACAAAAAGTTTAAAACCTGTCAGCCAACACTCGCCTGGCATAACTCTTAAGAGTCCGACGACGGAAACGAACATCGAGCGCTCTCGACGGACAATAACGCAGCAAAACTAATGACAATGATTGAGAACTCCAGGTCGTTTCGCGGCCGTACCAAGCTGGTTTCCCGCCAGCTGAATGCGGCTCAGAAGGTGGAGGTGGTGTTGTTCTCTTATGATATCGTGCTGACGCTGCAACTTGGACGTGTCAGTGCAGCGTCTGCAAACGTGAACTAGTGTGGCAACAATCTTGGCTCAATTGAATACTCCTTGTCTTCTACTATGCGTAGAGTGTATTCGAAGGTCCCAGTTGTGCGTCAGCTTCAACACCATGAAGTCCTACAAATTAATCGTGCGGGACGTCTGGTAACCGCTTTCACGCTCTTACGCACACTACCCATGTTTACTGTTAACCCCTAGCGAATAGCAATACCAACGTCCGCTGCAACCAGGCGATCTAGACAGTGAGCGTCGCGCCTTAAAGTACTTAATGTTGGCAAATATCGAGAATGGAGACCGAGAAACTCTCGTGAGAATTGGAGATTATCAGTACTATGGACTTGCTGGTTTGCGTAAAGATTCCTAAGCTGCTATTCGATGGTCCAGTCGAGCAAGTGCTAAAGGAGTTGAGGTAGGAGCGTACAATGTCGGCCATAGGTATGAATTCGGCGATGGAGTTGATGTAAATGTGGAGCGAGCACAACGCTACTATTATCGTGTACTGGAGCTGTCGACGGATACTATGACAGTGCAGTTGGCAATACTCAGTTGGTTGTTGACGACATATGCGAATGTTCCGACTAGCACGGCAAACACTTGAGTTCGAGGTAGTAGTAAGGCTGAAAGTTTCTTCGCCCGTGTTCTTCAGCTTTAACTGACTGATACCACCACTACTCGCTCGTTGGGAGGGGCAAAAGATCCTCTAATGTGGCCTTCTGAGCACGAAATCCACGCAGCTCTTCTTGGGGGAAATCAGGGTCATTCTCGTCCGGAAATTCGCGCAAAACTGCCGTAGGGATAGCCTCAAATTCGTTGTCGTCGTCAATGCAATTACGTGGCACACTGTATTGAGCAGCAGCATACCGCGAGTCAATTTCTTCATCACGAAAAACCTCCTCCAGATATTCAGCCCAAACCGCGAGAGCTCTTCCATCGCTGATATTGTCACCAGGATCCTCTTCGTCACCGTCTTCATCCGTGCTATGCAGCGGGCCTGGTGGCGAAGGGACAAACATTATGTTGCGCCCCTCGCGAAGAATTTCACGCTCCACAGGTGATATCAGTTGCTTTTTGTTTGCATTTTGAACCGAGTTTTTCAATGATCGCTGACGAACATGCTTCGCAATGATGTGAATGTCAAGTGCTTTGCTTGATTTCATGCGGTTGCGCAGTGCTGTATGAATAAGCCCGAGCTCACTGAATAGTCGTTCACATGTAGCAGTGTTGACAGCAATGGATAATACTGCCATCGCAAGCTTTAGTAGCATACTGTCTGGTCTTTGTTGGCCAACCCATCGCCAATATTTCCAGGGAGAGCTCTTAAATTCACTTGCTTTAGTTCTTGTGAACTTGCCTTCCATCCAGTCGAGCATATCACTTCGAATGACGCCGACATCCTCTGTAGAGAATAGCCTGCGATAATAGTATACAGCAATTGAAGGAAGGCGGCCCAACCCTGAGACCTTTGTAGTCGGCAGCGCTCGAGCGTGATCTGCATACGCTGGATGCAGTGCAAACCCCAGCATGAAGAGCGGTTGCTCACACTGCCGCCATCTTTCCTCGACACACTTGACGAGCTCATCACAACTTCCAGCAATATTCCGAAATCCGAGGTAAATATCACGATAGGATATCACTACGTCACCAACAGTGTTTTCATCGCGCTGGAGTCTGTACGATGCGTACGGCAACGGTGCAATAACATTTTCAGCACTAGTCAAACTTGTCCAGAAGTCGGCATCACCTAAACAGCGCAGACTCGATGGAAAGTCGCTATCCATCCCGTACTGGTGGTGAAGCATCTGAAGAGCGGTCTTTACTCGAAGAAGTGACGCGAAGCAGCCCTGCATGGAGCTCCAGCGAGTTGCACAGAGTGTTCGTAACCCAAGTGTCTTGTCGTAGAACCTCTTCATTAGCCTTCGTACGCGTTGCAGCCACTTTGCAGATGATTGGTTGATGATATTAACGGCAGCCGCTGCCTTGCCGGCTACTCCGCGAAACACCGATTGTAGAGCCGATTTAACGAGATTATTAATGTCATGCGCAAAACAGCGCACAAAAACGAGCTGTGGCCACCTAAGAGCCAATATACGCCGCGCACGCCCACATTGTCCGGCGTTATCAGTAATGATAGCACCAATATTCCACCCCTCGTCAAGTCCTTGTCTGATAACTGTCTCTATATCATCAGCGACTGCTAGTCCATCGTGCCGATCACCAACCGGTGTCAGTGCAAATGTTAAAATTACGCCAAAAAGTGTCAACTGGACGCCCAAATTGTGCTCTTTTGAAATGTTCATCCACACATCCGATGACAGGTTGACACGACCACCAGTTGACGCTTGCATATCACTCAGTGCTTTTGTCTCCTTAGACCGGCAGCGCTGTGCATGCTCAACAACAACTCGGCCACCAAGTGTACGACGAGAAGGTAAAATTGCTGTCAAACCCGGGCAAATCAACTCTAAAAACCGCAGCACCGATTCCTGCTCAATAAACCGATCGGAGAGATGATTGTTCGCGTGAAGCTCGACCAATGCGCACTCAATTTGTTTAACCTCGCTCCTCGTGTACTGTCGCCTTTGTTTCCTTTTTGCTGGGTTTGGTTTTGTGCTGCTTAAAGGAAAGATGTTGCCGAGCCGCAGGGTTCGTTGAGCTCGCGCACGCTTCGCCGGACGTGACATTGGCTGGGGAGGCCGATTACACGAGCTCTGCGATCGTGTTCGTCTAGCAATTCCTTGCGAAGCTGTCGGTGATCGAGCTGCTGTCATCACTGAAGGTGTCGCAGCGGGTGTAGCCGCAGGAGTTAATGGAGGGGACGCGCGAGAAGCTGCAGTTGGCGTCGCTGCTGGACTTGGCACGGAGGACACGGAGAGTGGTAATACCGAGCGAAGCTGTGCAGACTGGTAGCTCACACATCTGGAGAGATGGCTGCGGTAGTTACGCGGCCTGCCTACTATTGGAACAGGCAGCGTGGCTGCGTCGCCATTAGAGTAGGCGGCTCTGCAATACTTGCACTCTGTGTACTTGTAGCCTCCTTTTGCTTTGTCCAAGTCATCTAATGGCACGAAGTGCACGGCTTCTGGGCACTCTGGACGCCCACCGGGCATCCTCTAGACAGGGATCGGATACGCAACTAAAACGTGGTCCTGTAGTTTAAAACTGGCCGGGCCGGCAGTGTAATGGGCCCTCCCAAGTTACATATGTAGGTAGTTTTATAGGTTCTTTGTAGTGGTTCACACCATTACATAAGTAGGTAGATTTGCATTACAAAAGTAGGTGCAGCAGCACACGAGTAGCGTGTGCTGAACTGCCGTCACCTTATTGGTTGAAATATGGGAAGACAGACCCATAATCAACCAATAAGGAGCTGACGTGTATGAGTGGTCAGGGCAAGCTGCCCTGGACCTAAATAAAACAGAGTTGATTTTCCTTCAGACTAAGTACTTGGTTTCAGTATCACTGGACTTGTACGCTTCCTCATCACTACGTGTAAGCAAGTAACGGACACCCCAGGCCCGTTACAGGCAGGGGCCACTAGTTTTGGCCCCGGCCGGCCCGGCCATTGCCGAACGGCTGAAACCCAGTGCCGAACCCACGTACTGGACGTTTATTGGCCGATTGGTTTAAACCCTTCTGCCAACGCTGCTCGGGGGGGGGTGAGGGTGGAGCTGGTTCATACTCGGTTTGGATACGGAGTTCATGCAGGTGGTTATATTTGAGTTGGAAGTGTTATTAGCGAGTACACTGGAGTGCTGTCTACACACGGCTATAATTCGGACAAAGCGATGGTCGGCGAATAATCCGTATAGCAAAACCTGCTTGGCGGGCAAAATCTTTGTACCGCTGAAGCAAGGCAGGCTTGGACGAAACGTGCTTTAAGCAATATTGCTTCCATAGCCCGCGATCGTGCCAAATTGAATGAGAGGTTCTGAATCTTGACTAAACGCTTCCACTCGATTTTTTGCCTTCTATTTTCGATTCTAGGCTATCCATGCGCTCATTCTAGCGCTTTACATGCTGGGCTGACTGGTCAATGACAATACGCTGGTACTCAATGAGCGTGTGGTCTTGGATAATTTTCTTGAGTGTACGTTTATATGTCTTCTGTGGTCGTTGGCAGCTTCGTATTGCAGGCAAGATGGGTCGACCAAGCGAACAAGCTTTCAAGGTACAATCCTGCCAGCTCCACACGAGCGCTCCCCCCCCCCCCCCGGGATGGACTCTCTTTAAGTGAAAGAAGAAAATAATCGGCTCTACCCCGTGGTGCATGTGTCGAGACTCAAAGCTGTAAGCGCATTCAGCAGTCGACCGAAGATTCGCTTAGTACCAAACGGGCTAATGTTGAAGATGTAATTGAAGCCTTTGTTCGTTTAACACATGTTCCAGGCGCCATGGTCAAAGATTCAGCGATAAGTGAGGCCGTAGCATTCATTGGCGTGCTGCGCACCACCCCGGTTAAATGAGTAGAAAATGAGAGCCACCTCGACTTCCGTTATTGTAGCGATCCGGCCAAGCACCCGATTGACGTGTGAGTAGATGGCTGGTGTATTTTCGGCAGCAGCAGAACCGGGCGACACGGTGGTAGTAGCTGCTCCAAGGGCAGCATACCTGTCGGGATTGTCAAGCATTTCCAGGCGCGGCGTGACTGCGGACAAGAAGACATCAGATTGCACTGGCAGCGCTGGCGAGTTGTCCAGCTGGTCGATGCACGGAGCCCCTGCACCACGAGTGCCAACGCGGTGGTATACACCGGGCAAGTTCGAAAACAAGAGCGAGAGACCTTGCTCCTCGGACGGCTTGATCCGGATGAAGCGCTCGAAGATGAGGCCGGTGGTGGCGATGATGATGTCCTGCTTCTACACGAGCGACAAGTCGGACGCGCGTCCGAACATGTACCACAGCCACGGTTCGGTAGTAGCCTCCGGCATATTGACAATAGTGTGATAACAGTAATAATATGCATATTACTTCTACTATAGCACTAAGAAAACGGCATAAGTAGTGCTATATCTACTAGTATTTTTTTTTAAAAAGGAGCGTTGTAGTGATATTAGCACTAATATAAGTACTACTCCGAGAAAGCCGCGAGCCCTTTGAAATCCTTCAAGGTCGCACGTAGCTGTCTACCCCTTTTGGCTTCTCTTCACTTCTGTATTCGCATAACAAAAGCCACAACTGATGTGGTGTACTAAGATAAACTGCTGCTGGCAAGACGTGCCGGAGACAAATCTCTGCATGCGAACGAGCCTCAGCGCAACCTCACTTCACCAGCTACAGAGAGCGCGGAGTGTGACAGCGCTTCGGACCCCCAAGAGGACTTATTGTATGGTGATGAAGTCTGTCTGGTAGCCGACGAGAGCCTCTCTGAAGATTCGGTAAATTTTAAGTTCGATGGTGTGCTAGATGAGTGGCTGAACTGTCGGGTTGACTAGGAGGAAGTAGTGAAGCAGCTGCTTCATGATAAGAAGGAGTGGGAGAAGGTGATACCGAAACTTACCGGTACGAATAAACACGGTCAGCGTGTATGGCAAGTGAAACTTGTATGCCAGCATGTTGATGTATGCCGCTGGTACATCGAGACAGGACAAAAGCTATTCCCTTCGTAGCTCGTGTGTGGTTCGGCCGTAGTATTTCAACTGCCTTTCATGAAAAAGTTTTTTTCGACTGGATCCTAAGTCACGAGTCGTCTGCGCACTAGGACCGATAACAAACGAGCTCAACAGCAGCTGATTCTTCGCCACAACCGCATGGAAGAGAGCTAGCACCGTATTTAGCTACGGTTTCAGTCGTTAGTAGTGATAATAGTAGTTATATTAGTAGTGATAGTGATATCGCCATCAGGCAGACTACTAGCATATTACTAAAATATATTTCAAGATCGACTTGTGCATATTACTATCACTACTAATCAGAATTCCCACTACTACCGAACCCTGACCTCAGCGAGCACAACAGCGCTACGTTTTAATATTCGCTTGAAGTGAACGCATTTCTATACAAATAATATTTCGGCAAGTTATATTACTCCTACAGCGCATTAATATCTGCATTGCTATATTTCACCTCAAAATGTGTATTACACTGCCGCTTTGACCGACAATTTGCCAGGACACCCTACCGAGGTCCTTCTTTGCGATGGTTCATCGCTACTTTGCGTTGCTCGAGCTCTTTGGCGCAGAAGACGAAGGCATTATGGACCTGTATCTTCTCCAGTCTGTAATCGCCCATTGGAAAAGCTGCGCGCCGAGTTAAAGGACACTGACTCAGTGTCCACAGATCTACAAACCAAGTACGTCATAGACGATCAAGACTGCTACGACGAGCTCATTGCGGACCATCCAGCATTTGTCGCCTCTATCGGTAAGTTTCTGCTGCTGCTAACGTATTCACTCAGATTTTCTATTTGTGTATATATTCCGCTCGCCGAGTCACGTGCAATTGATGCCCACCGCCCCGACTTGAGGAGGACTGTGTTCGTGTCATAGGAGAAAGTGGCGTTGGGGGGGGGCAGGCAGCGCTGCCAAAAGCTTCGTTCAGCAAATCAAGAAATGTCGCCGGATCGAAGCGCTAGAAGCTTGGTACAGTCTGTCAAGCGGCTTTTCCCGCCATCTCCAACAAGATGAAGTTCATTTTTTTGCGTGAGAGAGTGATTACTAGCCAAGAATGCATTGAAATACCCTTTCCAAGGTTTCCTTCCTTTGTATAAAACGCTCGACATTGGGACATTATCCCGATTGACCCGCTTGCAGAAGCAGCTAAACTCAATACATGATAGTTTGGGGACAGCTTCATATTATTTACTTGCTTCTTCCTGCGTTGTCCAGGATTTACGCAAGTGGCTGATGCATGCAGGTCACATAATTTATTTGCTACTCCTTCAAAACTGAGGCATTATTTGGCTACGCGAACACGTACATCATCACAGTCTTGTTACTAATAAAAACTTCGGATTGGTGTGGAAGCTTCAGTACATGTTGTAGTCTCGCAGAGGTATGTGTGGACACCCCGTACACCTAGCTCTGGAAGAGTGCAATGAGTCAGTGCCCGGCTGCGTGCCAGCTACCATCGACTTGACAGTTGACTAACACGTACGGCGTGACAAATGGCCAACAGACTGTAGTAAAACGGCTGTAAGTTAGTGACAGAGAAGGATTGCGAGTACAAGACGAAGCGATGAAAAGTTTAAGCAGCAAACAGCTACCATGACGTCGACTACAGCAGATCGCACACGGAGAAAAGACGATTAGGAAGAGGGGGATGGGGCAAGGCTAGATCGATCGCGAGCGACTGGTATTTCATCAGGAGAGATATAACCGGCGGAAGGCCTTTGGTGAAGGTCAAGCGGTAGAGTAGGTGGCGGTATAGGCGGCGGGGCTTAGATAGGAGATCTCTTTGTACGTACATCTTTATTAAAAAAATTAATATCAAAGACTTACTACACGTAGAGTACTTCACCCTACCATAAGACGGCGCCTCAAGCCCCCGTGGGTGCTATCCACGGACCCCATCCAACAGCAAAGAGAGGTTTCCGATTGCTGGCGCACTGCGACAATATGGGCCGGCGTGTAGCAGGATGAATAAAGCAGGTAGAGCATGAGTGCAAGCCCCAAAACGAGAAGTGGGGAGATGCACAAAGGAGATATCTTGGTCGTGTGCGCCATTGGGCCTGGAGTGTACTAGTCTGTATTGTATGCCTGGAAGGATCCATGTCCGAGCCTGTTTATTCGGATTACGCGCAAGAGGACAGGAATACCCGTGTTGCCGACAGACAGAAGCGTTCTCTCTCAGACTGTATCATTTGGTATTAAGCTCTATGTAATAGGCCGTCAGTTTCAAAGTGAGGAGGCCTTTCAAAGCGGGCGCGCCACGCGTCCTCCTCGCCATTAACATCCCTCGGCAATGCGTTTTATAAAGTTTCCTTAAGAAGTAGGATGTTTGAACCTTATATATTGGCTACATATTTGACCAATTAAGGTGCATTCTAACACTCCCACTAAAAGTTCAAGCACATCCTCCTTTTCACTTCTGTGGTCTCATATGACTCGCCTTATCCTTAATCCAATTGCGACTTGTCCAGCAGAAATACCATACGACCTTTCGTACTTTTGGGCTACTTCTGGTTTTCCTTATAGTGAACACACTCTTTCCTATCCTGTTTTGATCACATATGATCTACTTTATCCTAAATCAAGTTGCGACCTTTTGGAGATATCATGTGACTTTTCGTTGTGGCGACTTTTCACACATCCGGTGATCCAAAATAGGTGGCTCCTAAATTTTGCGACACCTGAAATTTGTGACGTTCCATTACACATACCTATTCCCTTATTTCCAAAATTTGTGACCCAACCAATTTTCCTTTTCCGATTTCCCGATGGTTTCTGCCTCTAAATTGCACCTCTACCTTTTTTGTCTTTGCTGGAACCAATTTCCTTCAATCCATTCACTCTCAAATTTGCGTTCAGCATTCACGGTTCGACTTAGCGCCTATGGCCGCTATTAAACCCTCCGGGGGGGGCTACGACAGTCAAGCAAAACGTCCAGGCTTCGGTCTGTGATACCACCACTTCCAGAGACTGGGGAGCGCTTCGGCATTAGTTCCAATTAAGCACGGCTGGGGCTTGCCCCTCCCTTCCTAGATGCGGTCAACGGTGGCTCTTACTTGATTTCAGCACGTTATCGTGTTCTGTCGTAGTCTAGTCCATAACCATTGACATGTGAACGTCTGAGAGTTAACCAATATCATAACGTTACGTCTTATTGTTTTTTGCTTTAACCGCATAAGTCTTTTCCTTGGTGCACTTCAACTGAAGAGTATCTTTCGCCCTTCAACTTGAGAAGTATCTTTGAACTTCAACTTGCGCCGGGCGCTTGGATATGCCACATGGTGGCTCTTCAACTTCACTGTATCTTGTGATACATGGTGCCAGAAAGTCCAAATACCCCACACCTATTGTGGTAAGGGGAGGCATAGGTTCTTTACCCCCATGAGACTTCTGAGTTTCTCAAATTGAGTTTGAGGTAGTGCCTTTGTGAGGGCATCTGCAATCATATCATTTGTGTTGCAGTATGAAACTACTATTCTTCCCTTATCATGAATCTCTCGAGCATACAGTCCTTTGATATCAATGTGTTTTGTCGATGTATGATTTGCTGGGTCTTTTATAATACTAATTGCCCCCTTATTATCACACCAACACATGATCGGCTGTGTTTGCTTAAATCCCAATTCCTCTAATAGTACCCATAACCATTCGCTTTCTTTAATACCTTCACTCGCGGCTATTAATTCAGCCTGCGCTGTATGGAGGCTCACAGTACTTTGTCTTGAACTTTTCCAAGTAATACACGCGTCTGCCATAATACTCACATACCCAGTTACTGACTTTCGGTTCTCATTAGCATTCGCGAAGCTCGCGTCTGTGTACAGCTCATATATCACTTCCTTACTTTTCCCGTCAAATACGAGTCCGTACGTCGACGGTCCTCTTCAGAGAATTTCTAGTACTCTCCGGGGCTGCCCTGTAATGGCTCTTATTATAGCATGACAGGAAATTACTTAAATTCTCTAATAGCATTTGCTATATCTGGGCGTGTACCACGTACAAGGTACATCAGTGAACCCACTAAACCTCTGTAATCGAATGGTTGTGCTGAGATTTCCTCTGGACTTAATTTTTCCTCTTTCTCAAGTACTATACTCTTTGCCTGTGGTGTTGGTTCTGAGTTACAGTCAGTCATATCAAACTTTTGTAGTAAGTCCATTATATACTTGTGTTGGGACATACTCAGAAACATATTTGCCCTATCCCTCTTAATCTCCATCTTCAGTAGATAATGGATATCACCTAGGTCCTTCATAGTAAATCTAGAAGCCAGTTGGCTCTTCACCTTTTGCATCAATGTCATACTACTAGATGCTATAGTAATACCATCCACGTAGACGCAGACAAGTACTATATGCGCTACTCCTTTTACCTCCCACTTTTGACGGTACAAACAGTACTCCTTTTTGCACCGACAAAACCCTATTGCTTACCAGGAACTTATTGAGGAGTGCATACCAGATGCGAGGTGCTTGTTTGAGTCCATATAGGCTTTTCTTCAGTTTGCACACACTGGACGCATCCCCATGCCTAAACCCATGAGGTTGTTGCATGTAAATATCCTCAAGCAGCGATCCGTTTAGGAAGGCCGTTGACACATCCATTTGATGGACATGAAGGTCCTTTATCGTTGCTATTGCCAGTAGTAATCTCAACGACTCATACCGCGCCACCGGTGAGAATATCTCATTATAATCAACACCGTGGGTTTGCGTGTTTCCCCTAACAACCAATCTTGCCTTAAATCTATCAACCGTTCCATCTGGGTTATACTTCACGTCAAATACCCAGTGACAACCTAGTATTTTCCTTCCTTTTGGCAATGGTACTATTTCCCAAGTACTATTTGCAACTAGTGCCTGAAATTCAGCTTGCAGCGCAGTCTCCCACTGCTGAGCGTGTGGGCCCCGTCTCGCTTCTTTTATTGATCGTGGAATCGGTATCACCTTTGTGCTAATTGTGACAGCATTGATTGATACTAAATAGTCCTTTAAACGAGAATTTGGTGTCCTTTTCCTACGACTGCGAGGTATAGGTGGCACAGAAACTCGCTGTTTCTTTACTCCCACTGTTTCAGTATCCGGTGCACAATCTTCCAACTCAGAATTAGATTTTGGTCGCTTGTTAGACACATCCAGCCCCGTTTCTCGTTTTCTTTTCCCCTTTTCCCCAACTTCTAGGACCATTTCCTCATTCTCCTCAATTTTTCCGGACGGGAACGATCGTAAAATCAGTCCCTCAGTAAATGTTGGCCCAAATTTTACATCTCGAGCGTTAATGTACCTATTTCCTTTAATATCGAGTAGACGATACCCTTTGTAATCTTCAGAAAGCCCGAGAAGTTTGCACTCTAGCGCCCGCTCACTAAGCTTCGGATTGGGTCGTTTCGATTTTGGTACATGGGCGTAGCACGTACTGCCCCATATGTGAAGCGGAATTCCTGTTGGTTTGGTGCCAAACAGTGCTTCGTATGGACTTTTACCCTTAAGCCGGGCTGTTGGTATCCTATTAGTTATTGCTGTCATATATTTTAATGCCTCTGGCCACCATTTAGCGGCCATACCCGATCCTATTAACGCGCATCTAACTTTACCCATTATTGTCCGGTGAGCTCGCTCAGCAGACCCATTGACCTCTTGAGACTCTACATTTGACTTTTGGAACACGATCCCACTTTTATCGCTGTACCCTTTTAAGAATTCGTTGACAAATTCTGTACCCCCGTCGGTCCTTATCCGTTTTACCTTGTATGGGAATTGTTTCTCCAACTGCTTAATAAGGGTTTTAACAATAACCCCAACCTCTTTCAGAGACTTCAGAACGAAATACCACTTATAAGCAGTGGCATCATCTACTATTGCTAGAGCATACTTGTGCCCGGTAGTATTATAGAGACCCTGTGGTCTTATTTTTCCCAATGAGTCCATATGCAATGTGTGCAAAGGCTCAGATACCTTATCTGTCACCTTATTCCTATAAGACATTCGCCGTGATTTTGCCAGCACACATGTACGACAGAAAAATGATACCAGTTCCATTCTTTCTAGATAACTGGCTTGCCTCTCTGATTACTCTGCCAGCCGGAATGTTCATCAGTCTGACTTTACCGATGTGACCTATCCTCATGTGCCTCTCCGTCGAAGTCGTTTGTATCTTCGATTGAGAAGTACTATCGACGGATAGTACTCTTGAATTATTATCCAGTTTCCTACTCGGTAAATAGTATACCTCATCTATTGCAACTGCAGCAAATATGAATCGGTTTTTACTATCAAGGAAGTACAAATACTGCCCACCTTTTGACTGAATGTGGTGATACCCTTGTGTGGCAAGATAATATGCACTAAGCAAGTTACTACCGCACTCTTTATCAAAGGCAACATTTTGTATTGAGATATCACTATAGTACCCTCTGGGTTTGAGAATACTAAATCTCACTGTCCCTTGGAGCTTGGTTGACGAGGTGCCTCCGTTTCCATATTCAAAGATATGAGTCCGTCCTTTGCCAAGCTGGCTGAACCACCTTCTATCCGAGCTTATAGCGTGTCCAGCTCCTGTATCAACCACCCATAGATCATCAGTCAGGTTCAACTCCCTCAATTTAGAAAGATACTCAGGGTATCTTCTCCGTACCTCATCATCAATCTCCATTGAGTGCATCGGTGCCTCATCTTCGCTTCCTTCACTCGCTGGAACACTCCCCTTGTACTCAAGTTCGTCGGCATCCTCAATTGCCTTGTTCAAATTGAGGTCGAACTTGGCAGCTTGAGCTGGGGTCCTTTCTTCGTCTTGGTTCACCTTCATCCTCTTGGTAGTCGACTTGCCCCCCTTCTTGACCGTCATCGCTCGCTTTGTTTCGGTGACAGGAGCCGCCCGTATGTTTGAGCGAAGCAGCTTGCCTCCAGCCCTTTTCGGGTTGCGGTCAGCCGCCAACACTGAGCAGGTCTTCTTCAGTGACATCTTCAAAGCAGTAATAACACTCGCTTACTGCCACTTCAGAGGATTGTCCTTGTTTCCTTTTCTTCCCCGTAAACTTTCTTCCCGCATTGACAGTCACTGGGCGTCTCTTATCAGTCAGCATCGTGGCTTCCTTCCTCGATCGATCACCGAAAACGCGGCGAAGACTCGTCTCCACGTTTTCAATAGAAAACCACTCTTCAGTCATGATGATTGTGCCTCCCCACAACTCGCTTGGTAGTAACGCCAGCACTTCCATGCACAGCCAGGTCTCGGTCACCATGTCCTTGCCAACCAAACCCCTCATCTTCCTGTTAATGTCGTTACGCAGCTTCTTTAACTGGGCGAATAGGGCCCCCAGATTGGTCCAGTTCGCTGCGAGAAGACGCTCCCACTGGCGGCGCAGCTCGATTACGCCTCCTGCATCCCCGAGCCCGTACTTTTGCTCGAGCTCCTTCCATATGTCACAGGGATTCATTCTGGACACTTGATCCGGCAGCCCACTCAAGAAAACGTTAGGCAACGCTTGGTTGAATAAGTTCAACAGCTCGGACCGAGCCCTAGTCCAGTGTTGGTGGCGCCAACGCTTGGCCCTTCGCCTCTTCTTGAGAAATATTTCCCTCCACCGAAATGATGGGTCTCTCAGGCGTACCCTCAAGGAAGTCCATCATGACAACCGTAGCCTCAGGCTGGTCCTTTTCCAACAGCCCTCGCTGGTATTTCTCATCCAGCGTCTCTATGTGCGTTAGCACCTTGTCTCGCCACATGGTGTAGTCCTCCCCCATGGAACTTTTCCCAGTCCCAGGACCTGGGCACTCCTATTGTGTCCTTTAACCATGGGCCTTAGTCTCCGTACGTATCTAAAATATTAAGCTCTATGTAATAGGCCGTCAGTTTCAAAGTGAGGAGGCCTTTCAAAGCGGGCGCGCCACGCGTCCTCCTCGCCATTAACATCCCTCGGCAATGCGTTTACTTATTAAGTTTCCTTAAGAAGTAGGATGTGTTTGAACCTTTTCTATTGGCTACATATTTGACCAATTAAGGTGCATTCTAACATTTGGGCTGGCGAGCTGTTAGTCCCTCGACACCGGCCTAGTGGCCAGTGCTGGCGACATTGCTCTGCAGCAGGGTGCTCGTGTGCCGGCCCCCTTTCATTAAACTTACCCAAGCTTATTAATAAACACCAACCTCTGCTTCCACGTCTAATCCTTCCGGAACGAACCGCGCCGGCGATCGGCCAGCTCGCGAACGTTGAGAGTTGCGGTGAGTTCTGAAATGAAGAGATGCATAGTATACATCCCAATAAGCATCTGGTATCCAATACTACATTTATCCGATCATACCATTCGAACAACTGCATTCAGTGCTGGTCATCAGATGAATTGCATCAAACCTTGGTAGTGAGCATACCTATTATGCTCACTATCAAGGAATGATGTGTATTCAGCCTTTGCCATTCTCGCACGTCGCATAATTAGTTTCTTCCAATCATACCTCCTTATTCAAGTCTACTATCCACCAATTGTCTGCTTCCAAAGGTTGATTGGCTACTGGGACCAAAGCGGGTTGAGCCTTGGCTTGTTCATTCACCACCGAAGTTGCCCTGCACTCGCTCGTCACCTAGACACTGCGTACACGATGGCCAAGAGTCTGCGCTCCAAGATCAAGCGAAAGTTCCGTACGGAACTGCGTAAGCGCATCGGCGTGCGCACAGGCGATTCAGGAGGCCAAGATCCAGGAAACCTCAGAAGGCCATTGGCTGCTCAAGGTAAGAGCTTTAAAACCACTTTCCAGCCCTTGTCGCATCACTCTGACAATCGTTTTTTATTGAATTTAGGCACTGGCAAGTCGGTCGCAAGTCTTAAGAAGCTCATGGGTGCCTCAGTACCCGTTGCTAGCAGCGAAATTACCGGCGTAGTCAAGGAACAGACTCCTGCTGAGGCCGAGGCCGCTCTGCTGAACCAGGAGGCCGACGCAAACATGGAAGACGTCAAGAAGGCTAAGAAGGACAAGAAGAACAACAAGAAGCGCAAATCCAAGTTCGTACACTTCCACCAACTGCGCAAGAAGGGTGTGTAAGCTCGTGGGAGGCCTGGAAATGACGCTCGACCAAATGGCGATCGAAGTGTGAGGAGACGTCAAGTGGATGCGATCGACCGCTGTTACTCTGTAATCTGCTATTATCCAGTTTATTTTTATGACTGTTATCGTGGGCTAGTCGTCCCAATCGGAGATCTCTGTTGCTTGCTGGAACTCGATCTGCTTGTCGTATTGGTAGCCTGCTTGGTCTGGGCGAATGATGTTTTGCTCAAAGACCAGGTCCATCTTCTGCTTCACTTGCTTGAGCTGTGTTTCGGACACTCGATTGTAGTCCGCTTGTGGTAGCATGGGGGCCCGTGTAGCTACAGACTCTCGGCCTGTGGTTTGATGATCAACCAGCTTTCGAACCAGTCGGACAAGCTACATCAAAGTCAGTTCTGCAAGTAAGCAACCGACGAAGTTGACCGGAACAAAAATGAAGACTACCTGCGCAGACGTAACTTTGCTGTCTCCGACGACAGCTGCGTGTTGTCTAATGATATTGGTGACAACTTCATCAATACGATATTGCTAGCAGCAGTAGAAAATGTCATGAAGAGTCATTCATAAAAGGACTTGTAGTCTTACGCTTAATCTGCTAGCTCCAAAAGACGACAGCTCCGTCTTCAGGTCGATTTCGTGGTGATAAAGCTGCTTGGCCGCGGTGCTGTGGTAGATATACTCGACAATGATGCCAGGAGGCTCGTACCGTAAAGCTAGTCGCCGAGGTTCGATGCCACCAACCGCCGTCATCCAAGTGACCGCGTCGGCTCGATTATGGAGATGATGAATCGCCACATTCCACTAAATTTAGAGAACGGAATATCCTAATCTGTTGTTAGCAGTCGGCAACGTGTTAATCATTCTTGCCGCATTATTATCTGTGTTGCTTGCTTGCTTTACTTATGTTCCATGGGCACCATGACTCGTTTGTTACCGCAGCAGGAAGACCTCGCTGCAGCTCCATCTTTCCACTCGACGTTCTCCTTCCACATCCTCGTGTCACCTTCGTATTGCTCGCATTTCCAGATAGGGACCGTGGCTTTCAGTGTGTCAATGGCAAAGGCGCAAGCTTCCAGCGCCTCCCGTCGATGCGGCGAGCTAACGACCACGATGACACTGGCTTCTGCCACTTCGACCACTCCGAGGCGATGAAACAATGCTACTCCTACAACATCCGGCCATTTCTCACGAATAATGACACAAATCTTGCGCAGCTCGGAGACCGCCATCGGCGTGTATCCCTCATACTCGAGTCGAACTACCTTCTTACCTAAGCAAATCGATCGCATTACACAATATCAAGTCAGGTCTGAACCATTTAGAAACCATTGAAATGCTCTCTGACCTTGGAAATTGTCTCGCGTGGTACCGACGAATGTCGAAATGGCGCCTGCACTTGGATGTGTCACAAGCGCCACTGCTCTCTGGTTATCCAGCGGCTCAAAACCAACCTCCACAAAGTCACCAACTCCAGCCTCCGGACTTGTGTGTGACGTCATCGTCGTGTTCATGTCTGCCATGTCTCAGCTGCCAAGCAACAACGATGGCAATGTAGCCATTTCTCTGATAGCATTTTCCCTCACTCTTTTGATTCGCTTAAATATTTTTCCGTTTTCACCCAATCAATGTCGAAGAAAAAGCAATTTGTGCTCAAGACGATCAAGCCATGGCGGCGGAGCTGTGGCTGTACCTAGACGCAGTCACAGGACAGCAGAAGGGCCCTGTTACCGCTCCAATTGTCAAGAAACTGCTTCTCAAGGGTATCATTCAGCCTCAGCAGGCTGGTGTGGACTCCGGCGTCTTCTCAAATGGACAGCGATCGACAGTGTGGAGCCTTTCGCGGCCTATTTGCGCGTCTGGACGGCCGTATGGTACTATATGGCTGAGGACCCTGCGAATCCTGGTAATGAAGCTACAAGAACGGGTCCCGTGACGACCCAGCAACTTGTGCATCACTTTGTGGACGGAGATGTGGACGGTATGACGCTCGTCTGGAGCCAAGAGCTCGACAGTTGGAAACCCATCGGTGGGTAGTGCACTTGCTGCGACCGGCACATATGCGGTATACTTACAGTAATCTCCATTGTGCTGTTGGTGATACGCAGGTGAAGTGCCATCTTTAAAGGAGTTTTTACAAGAAGCTAACGAAGATTTAGATCGAGAGGCAGAGCTGAAGGAACATGCCAGCGAGGTTCCGATGGAGCACCAAGTTTTTGAGAAAGAGTAGGTGGCTGTTCTGTATCGTTTGATGTGTAAATATTGTATTGAACATGCGCTGTTTGTGGTGGAATTAGGTCGACCGACGCTCTTGTTGCTGAAGACGGCAAGCGCTATGTGTTTGACGCTGAATCCAAGACATATGTAACACCTGAGGATAAAATTGAGGAGGAGTTGGCTTCTCTGCAAGAAGCGATGCAAGAAGAGAACGCAGAGAAGCAAGGCCGTAATAGGAACGAGAACCAGAGTGAGAATCAGAAGCACAATGACAAGGAGAATGCGTCGACTGGAGATAAAGTGGCCGCGAAGGAGAATTCAGCGGAGCAACCCGAAGCAGACGCGGAAGCTGCCAAAAAGCGGAAGAAGAAGAAAAAGAAGAAGAGCGACAAGTGGAAGAAAAGCAAAAACAACACGTGGGTGTATGTGAACGGCTTGCCGCTGGACGTCACAGTACAGGAAGTACACGATCATTTTGCCAAGTGTGGCGTGATCCAACCGGATATCGCCACCGGCGAGCCCCGTATCAAGCTCTACCAGAACAAAGAGAGTGGCGGTCTAAACGTGCGTTCTGCTGGAAATGTTCCACGATTGTGCTGGACTAAATCGCTTAATGATCTTCTGATTGCAGGGCGATGGGTCTGTGTGTTACATGAAGGAAGCGTCGGTGGAGCTGGCTGTGCAACTACTCGATAAATCACAGATCCGACCAGAGTATGCTGCTTTTGACCCCCTCAAATGAGCAATACCTGCTCTGCTAACGTTGTTACTGCAATATCTACCAGCTGGCCCATTGATGTATCACCTGCAGTGTTTCAGCAAAAGGAAGGAGACTTTGTGAAGCGGAAAAAACTCAAGATCGACAGCCGCGCAAAGATCAAAATGTTCGAGAAAGAAAAGGTAAACTGTGCTGACGTTTCACACTCCTATCTAGTATAGCTAACTTAAGGTGTGATGCCATGTAGGCGCTTTCCTGGAATGAAGGAGAAGTGAATGAGCCCGCTGGTCTGCGTATTGTGGTGATCAAGCACATGTTTACGCCCGCTGAGATTGAAGGTGCGTTTGTTGTCTTGGGTTCAAAAGTGGTGCGTGAAGAACTCAAATTAACATGCGGCTTGTCAGATGAAGCATACGAGAAGGAGCTGCAAGAAGATATTCATGACGAGTGCTCCAAGATCGGTGACGTTACAAAGATCACGCTCTTTGCCAAGCACGTGGATGGCGTCGTGGTGATCAAGTTCGCGTCGAGCGGCAGTGCTGCGCGGTGTGTGGATGTTATGAGCGGACGATTCTTTGCTGGACGTAAGCTCGAATGTGGGTTCTGGGACGGCACGGACTACACGCATCATGAAAGTAAGAATGAGGAGAAGGAGCGTGCAGAGAAGTTCCAAGAGTGGCTGGATGGAGGCTCGTCCTCTGAGAGTGAGGCTGAAGAAGAAGAGAAGAAGACAGAGCAGCACGAGGTGGATGATGAAGGGCAAGATGTGCATACTGGACGAGAACTGCCTGCTCTTGCAGATGACAGTGACGATAGCGATGTGGAAAGTAATGGAGACGCAGAGGAAAGTACCAATCCAGCTGGTGCTGATGAGGTTCACGCGGGTCGAGTCATGCCCAATCTCGACGATGTAAACGATGATGAATAATACCCGTGACGTGGTAAACTTCGCCAGCTCAAGTGATGTTTCAACGGATCAACGGCCGTTAAGAATCTCACTCTCTAGTTCTGGCCTGAAATGTTGCAGTTTATCATTCATCGTCAACTATTTTCAACATCCAGCACAAGGTCGTTTCCAGTTTTGATGGTCCCAAATGTGTAAATTTTTCTTCGAGCACATTCACGATACTGTAAATGTGGACTAAGCCCCGTTCCCCTGTCACCGAATGCTGCAGTGTACAGGCTTTTCTTGGCATGGTGTGTGCTTGCCTGTTCTTTCTTTAGACTGACAGGGCACAGCTCCGCCCAAGCAGGTGTGGTAGCTGCTATCTTTATGTGTTTTCTTTGCTTTCTTGCATCTCCTAATAGACTTCATGATCAGCTTTTTGTAGCGTGGCAGCTTTAAAAATTGACAAGTTGGCTTCATCCAGGTCTCTATAATTGTTGTTGCTGCCTGCTGCACTCAGCAGCTCCAGCTATTTCCCTCCTCCTCCGTTGGAAGGCCCCGGAATTTTCTCAGCCTGTAGCGTTGGGGGTTCCTGAGGTTTTGGAAACATGCCTGATGCAATGGACGGATGGACGCAGAAGCCCTGGAGTGTGACAGAGGAGATGTGGAAGCGCAAAGCCAAAGGTCTGGGAGATCAGTACCAACGACTGCTGTCCGATCACCAGGACTTGCGTCTTGAGAAAGCCAAGATGATGGGCGAGCTTCGAGTTTTGCAGCGCTACAAAGAGGCTGCCGAGGACACGATCAGCCGTGAAGTTGCGAGCAGAAAGTGAGTGAATATTCCCAAATTTTTACGTTGAGAGAAAGGGATTAAGGCAGTGTTTGGGTGACAGGGTTGAACACAAGGATAAAGTGTCCGCCACTACCAAGTTGGAGCAGTATATCAAGAAGTACGAACGTGAATGCGAAAGAGTGTTCGCACTCGAGCGTGAGAATGCCTTCCTGATGGAACAGGTCTCGGACATTAAAGGAGAAACCGAGAAGCGCCTGGACTTGCTAAAGGAGTTAGAAGACTCGCAAAAGCGAAGTGCTCGGCTGAAGGAGAAGCTTCGGGAGTATGTCAAGCAAGGCTGCAGTGTTCTCGTGTGATCTGACTTTGTGTTGCTGAAAATTAGGATGGAAGTTGTGGGTATCGAGCATGAAAACACAATTCTGGAACTGAAGGAGAAGAACCAGAAGCTCAAGCGCAAATTGGTCTCTGCGGAGGACGATGTAGCTGACAAAGCGGAGGAGGCCAAAAACCTCGCTGTACGACTAGCGGTGCGTACAGTTTTGGCTGTTGGTGGCTCAAAGAGAACACTTAAGGAACGCACAAATTCATTTTTCAGGCTGTGGAATCTGCGTGGGAATCTGCTCGCGGTAAGAACAAGACTGCACTCCATGAGCTGAAGAAGAGGTGCGTCGTGAGAGCTTACCGTATATCCGATCTGCCCTCATTGTATCATACTGAAATTCTAGGGAATCGCTTTCGATAGAGCTTGAAAATGTCAAGTCGGAGACTAAGGTTCGCATAAATGTAACAAGTTTAGGCTAATTTTTTAATAATGAGACTCTTGTTTGTATGAACAGCATGCGAGCTACCGCATACATGCGCTAGATGTCGAGGTTGAGACAGCTCAAAGCAAATTACGACAAAAAGATCGTACAATTGAGGAACTTCGCGAGAAGAATTCAAGCCTCAAGAAGGAAGTCACTCGTCTCAGTGCTCGAATGGAGGATCTGTCCGCTAGCCTAGTGGCTACACGTGAGCTCATCGAAGAGAAGGATGCTGAGATTGAGCGCAAGACCGCGCAGCTCCGCAGTAAGAAGACGGAAGTCAAGACGCTCGAGCGCATTGATGACTCGTCGAAAGACCGTATCGAAGACCTCGTATGCCAAGTGAGTGAGCTGCAGCAACAACTGCTAGATACTCAGAAAGATTACCTGCGTAAGGTGAAGAAAGACGAGTTTACGCGCGAGAAGCAGCGAGCGCGTGATCGTGCCGAGATTTTTAAAGAACTGGAAACGATGCACAAGTCTCGTCGGTGCAAGAACTGCAACGAAACGTTCACCAACAAGTCCAACACGTCGCTCTCGTGCTCGTTCCATCCAGGTCGCTTCGTAGCGCGCAAGTACCCACTCGAAGGCTACCAGTGGAGCTGTTGCCAGAAGCGCGAGCTGTCATCGAGACCTTGTAAGTTTGCAGGACGCCACATCGAGTCCAAAATATTGAACTAGGTCGGAATGAGCTCGGAAGGAAACAAAAATGCGATGCAGAGAGGCAAAGAGGTGAGCGCTAAATAAACAAAATAAACTTTTGTCCTCTCGACTCGTTGCGTCGGTTCACCTGAACTTTTTGTGTTGGAATTTACTAGCCGCACTCTTCACGTCACCGTCGGTATCATCAATGCGTGTCAACGTCAAGGTGCATGGTCTGCAGTTTGTGGTGCCCTGTGGTGAAGGAGGTCAAACCTGTCGCTGGCTCGGGCTAGTTGCTGCTCAGCGGTACGCTCTTGTTGCACCGCACGGTCGCTGTCGCACACGCGAGGATGCTCATATCAAACAAGGATTCTTCCTTCCTGCTGGTATCGTCAAGCTGAACGGCCAAGTGTTGCGTCCGGAGAAGCGCATTGTCGACGTTTGCAAGGATAACGAAACCTTGACTGTCCGACTGCAGGTATGTAGGTGTACTGTACTCACTCAATGTTTGATTACTCGAATGCGTTTGTTGCAAAACTTTATTTCAGCAAGAAGTGACTGTGAATGAGATCGGTACACCTCAATTCACAACGTGGACGACGAATGCGTTCTTTCCTTCGCAAAAGCGCGTTGATTTTCCCGATGCTGCTGATGCTAAAGCTGACGTTAAGAAGACAACGTCGGGTGTTTTGACAAAGCAGCTATCTACATCCGAAGAACAAGTCGCTGACGCAGAGGCAAAAGGAGATGGAACTTCATCTTCGGCTGAAGAAATGAAGCAATATGCGCGTGCTGAGATGCTGCAACAAGTGAATTCAGGGCAATTCTTGTCCGACATGGAGGTGGAGGCTGCGTTCCTGTACGACTGGAGTCGTATTCACCTTGAAGAGATTGAAAAGGACCCTCATGAACGCGAACTCCTTCAAGAGTTGCTGCTGTCTTGTTTCTCCGAGCTCAACGCGGGGTACATGCATTACGCTACTGGTAGCAGTGAGCTCACGTACGGCATGAACGGGGCCGAGTTCGTACACTTCCTTCATGAATGCGAACTAGCACGACTCCATGATGTTAACGCCCAGAAAACCGTGGAGAAGGTGGTCTCGCAGTGTTTACGCCGCGACACACTTGTTGCGATGCATGATCGTGGCACATTGTCTCGAGTTGGCTATATCCATGCATTGCTAAGGGTGGTGCAGGCTATGGAGACGTCGTCTACGAAAGATATCTTTAGTGAACATTTGGACAACATTCTCAAGACCCAAGTTCTTCCCACTATCACTCGACTTACAAGCGGACCTTTCCGAGATCACTCACACCATGATGTACGGGATCGTCATTATGCTTGCGTGCCACGTAACTTTTTTGCTGAGTTATGTGTTTGATTTTGCTAGAAAATGGTGGCGACTTTCCAGGAAGCCAAGCCGAAGCTCCTCAAGCTATACCTAAAATACGCCCAAGAACATGCTTCGAAGCAAGCTCCTCGGAAGAAAAGCGACAATCCAGAGGCGGCCGATGCGTCGGTCTCCACACCTTCGCCGTGTTCACCCATTTCATCAACTTGGCCACAACTGCTCTCAGCGGTAGGATTGAGGAGCATGTTATACGACTGCGGCATGTTCTGCTCCGGCACTCCCGAGGAACAGGAAACGCTCTTTGATCGTGCTGTGGAGCAAAGTTTCTCGGGAATGCGAGAGGTGGAGCGTATCGAAGATCGGATGGTGGTCTTCAGCGAGTTCCTGGAGGTTACCGCTCGAGTTGCTTTGGCCGTACTTGACAGCGAAAATGAGTTGCCACCTCGAGATGCCATTAAACTTGCGCTGGAAGCTGTGTGCAGCCTGCCACTAAAGAGTGAAGCCATAAAAGCGAGGAAGTAAAGTGGCCGCAGTAGAAGTACGCAACGACGTGTTCAATGTCTCATCGAAGCTTGCATGTCCTGTTTGCGGCCACGAATAAGATGAAGGTACGTAACTTACGTCGTAAGTGCACCCACGTACTGTACGCCAACTTGCAACAAAACTCAAAAATAAATGAAAACTAAATATTTTCCTTACCACTGACCTACGAACATGAAGCCCTACCGTCAGGCCTTGTCTTCGCAGTCACATTACCCTACGACTGACGTCACAGTCACTTTTGTACAATATTCGCTCCTACTTGAGCGAAAAATTCAAACAATCGTACCAGCACCTCGAGTCGGCCAGCGAGTCACAGTTCACCTTGAGCTTATTTCCGTTGGCGAGGGTGAACACGATGCCACATTCCAGATCTCGCGTCGAGCCCACGTCCACGACAGTGCCGAGACGCTCAAGCTGGTTGTCCACATCGTTGGCAACTCCCAGCGTCGCCCCGTCCATTACGTAGAACCGACGCAAGCGAGAACCTTTCCGCACATCCGTAAGCCAGCCACCAAACACAGGCCTCAGCTTCTTGCGACGTCGGCTGTTTAAATATTTCTTCAAGTTGAAAGTTTCTGCGTGCCGACACGCGCTGCTGATAACGGAGCGCCATCGCTTGGCTGTCTCGTATGACTCGGCGTGCACTTTCCAGACGCGTCCGCTTATCAAGCGGATCAAAAGTCCGTTCGCATGTCCTTCCCATTCCTCCACTGAATGGGCCTTGTCGCTAAGCACCGTCTCCGAGTTTGTGTCCTTAGCGTATGCCAGTTCAACGCCGTGTAGTGTGAAGTACAGACGCTTCCAGCCCTTAAATAACCCAGCTTGCTTATACAGCCACCCTGCGTGGTTCGACAGCGCCGTTTGAATGTAGGAACTCTTCACCGACGTCTTGGGCTGTGCCGTCTTGCCGTTCGCAGTGGCAGCTGCTGAAATGGCGCCATACCAGAGCATCTGCTCGTCGTACGAGTCTGCGTAGCACACCATGGATATACCAGTGCTAAGTTCGATCGCAAGGCCATTCGCGTGGCAATCAGCAAACGACACAGCCTTAATATACCCAGAGCACTTCCGATCTGCTGTGCCGTGATCGTGGTCTCGACACTCAATGTATCCATCGATGCGTACAACGAAGAAGCAGCGCTTCCAAGCCTTGTTCTTCTCCTGCTTGAACAGATAACCTTCGTGCTGCTCCGAAGCAGTGAGCGTATACGACGTTTTGGACTGCGAGTTAAGGTTCTGGTTGCGTTCAATGACTTTTTCCATCGCCCCATGCCACTGTTCAAACTCCTTCTCACTGGGACAGCGGATCTGGAGTGTACCGCCATCGCCAAACTCAAGTAAGAGTCCATACCGAAGGGAATCCAACTTGTGTACCGACATCAACAGTCCAAAGCCCTTCGGAGATTGCCCCGCACCTTTGCTGTACTTAAACTCCGTCCCTGAGAGCACTGCATAGTAGCGTTTCCATGTTTTGAACGCGCCGTGCTGAATAAACACCCAACCGGAATGAGGGACGTACGCCGCGTTCGATGCGCGGCGGTTGTCAAAGCAGGACGGACGGGTATTGTCCTGGTTGTTGTTACTCGGTGCTGTGGTGTACGAATCCGGAGATCTGCCACGTCTTGAGGACGATAAATACGGGTCGCTCACACGCGGCTCCTTCTCCTGTGCTAGATTGCTGTATCCTCGGTTTCGGTGTCCCGCTTGCTGTATTCCTGATCCCTGCTGACCTGCTAGATACGCCACGTAGTTTCCTGTGCTGATGGGAAGTCCCATGACGGCGTCGTCCTCGCCAGCATCACCTGTGTTAACTACGGCGGCCTGGTTCTGATCGGGTCTCATCTCCTCACTGTCCTTTACACGCTGTGGCATCTGCGGCATAGTAGCGACCGTTGCGCGGCGGTTCATGAGGTTAAACGTCCCTGGATCTGAGCGAATGGGTCGACTCCCGCTCACAATGGCCTCGTAATTGCGTGTGTCAACAGGAAGACCCACAACAGTGTGGTCGCCTTCTTCTTCGCCCTCCTCTTCCTCGTCTACTGCCACCGTCTGTACCAACGAGAGGCTCTCGAGTTGATTGCCCATCTGTTGCTGCCACACAGCCACTGTTTGCCGCTGGTAGCCGGGTGACACGCTGCCACTCGAGACCAACGACGCCCCTGAGCCCGTTCGTCTTCTACGCGCCAGATTATCCAGCAGCGCCTGATAGTTGCGCGTATTTACGGCGAGTCCTAATGGTGCTGTGTCATCATAGCCGTCGTCTAGGGCTTCTGCTTGCTCCACAGAGTGCGGAGACTCATCCTGACGCGTCAGCATCGCGTTCAGCGCCGTCTTGCCGGCGTGGTAGGCACTGGCGTCGTCGGCATGTATGGGCGCCACACGCTGAGTGACCATCAACGAATGGGAGTGAATGCGGAAATGCGAAAATGCGGAAAATGCCAAGACGGGAGTGAATGTCGTTGCTCTTGTGCTTCTGTGAGGCTGAAGCCAGCGTTTCGAGGAATGGACAGATGAGAACGCGCGCGCTCTGTATCGTATTTTCTCAGAAACCTGTACTAGCCAAATATTATTTGGTGACCGCTGGCCCGTTTCTGGTTCTCTTTAGTGAAAGCAAGTGAAGCGACCTCTAGCTCAATATGATTCGAGATTTACGGGACGGAGATTCGCCTTAATTCGGTGGATCGGCGACTTCACCCTTCTCGACTCTACTTGGGCAATGAAGGGCGGGCCGGAGCATGGGTACAAATCAACGCAAAACTGAGATTACACAGCATTGGCAGTTGTACTATCGGTTGTTTGCCGCTGGGCAGGATTTTAGTTGCCCAGTTCCTCTCTGCCTGGCAGGGAGAGTCAATCGGTTCAGAAGGGGAAACAACATAAATGTGAGCTGAGCTCACTACTGTTCCCACACAGGATTTCCTAGTGTATCTTTGGCACGGTGCGATGCAGCAATGTTGAACATTCCGCTGCCGTCAGTGGATTGTGCGTCCTTTGGACGCTGGCGCCATGGTTAGCCGCACTAAAGTGGTAGGCTGTCAAGTCCTCGGTGAGGAGTGAGTTGACGCCATGCCAGACATGTTTCTCGAAGCTGCACTCCAGTCTCAAGTTGAGACTCTCAACTCGTCTGAATGGAGCTGCGCCGGCGCCGGCTGTCCGGCATGACAAACGCCCCATGCTGGCGCATGTCAGAGGTGGAAGCGAGGTGAGTGGAGAGGCTGAAGCGTAGCGCTTGCCCACATGACAACAAAGAACCGCAGGTGACCGTGTGGAAATAAGCACACAGCCGTCTTATTCCTTAACTCGTGGTTGGCGGAGCAGCTCGCGTCATCCTTGCCTGTACTATTCTCCCACTGAGAGCACTGCTCCGTGCAGTGCACGCTAGAGTAGCGACTACGTGGTTGAGAACAATCGACGCACAATGGTGAAACATTGTGGACACGAGGTAACATGTAGTTGAAGTGTTAATCATGCGTGTTGATCAAAAAAACTGAGCGCGAACGCATCGCGATCTGCTTCTTTCACTGGTCATTATCACATGCAAATTTTCCGCCATGCAATATCGTTTTGGAAGTTGAAAAAAGTGAAGACAGCAGTCTTAACAGTCTTCGCGCTCGTCCTCCTTAAAGCGTACATGGACGCGCACACCGGACGGCAAGGAATTCCCCGCTTGATCTTGAATCTCGCGGAGATGGCTTGCGCAAAATCCTCGAGTTTGAGAACATTTATTGCAGCCTACTCGGTGGCACAGTCGTTTTCCGCCGTGAGCCGAGCACAAACCCCAGCGATTAACAGTCTTTGCGCACCCCTCTATCCGACACGTCTTCCGACCTCCGTGCGCATTACAAAGGCCCCGGTAGTGAGCATTTTTCACGCAACCCTCTTCCGTACATTTCACTCGACCTCCGTGGCCTCTGCATAGGCCCCTTGCTCCGTTTGTAGCCAAATTGGAGCAACCTTCAATCACGCATCGCTTGCATTGGTCGTGTGTCGGGCAGAACCCCTCCGCCCCCACCGCCTTTTCCCTACAGCATCTCACCTTGCACACGGGCGCGTTCGGTTTACGACCGCGAATTCCGATTGATCTTGTTGGTTTCGTTGTCGAGATCTTTTCATCCGGAGCAGCGAGACTGGTGCCATCAGCTTTCTCTTGTTTCATCTTCACCGCGCGCTTGCAGCTTGCTCTGCGGAAAAGGTTTGGCAAATCTGACAAGTCCCACGCATTGGAAGCCGTCGGCTTCGACATCTTTTCGGCTGTCTGCAACTTTGGTCGTATTTTGGTGGTCGACGTAGACGGTGACGTACTACGCGACCTTGACTTGGCTGAAGAATTGTAGTGGCCAACTGCTTGGTGCGAGTTTCCTGTCTTATTTCCGCGCGCAACCTTGTCACTGACTTGGCTGAAGAATTGTTGTGGCCAACTGCTTGGGTCGAGTTTCCTGTCTTGATTCCGCGTGTAACCTTGACTGAAATCTTGTGAAGATGAGGAGCTTCTGCCTGTTTCAGTGAAATGCTCTCCATGAACGAGACAAAGGTCATGCTGATACGCAGCCATGTAGCATCGTTCCTTTTCGCACTTCCGTTGGCCGTTGCACAACACAGATATCCCACCTATAGTTTGGTTGAGTGTCATTTTGCGGTCTTTTGCATCCTTTTCACGGGTTGCTTGTGCATCCTGTTCACGGGTTGCTTGTGCATCCTGTTCACAAGTTGCTTGTGCATCGAAACTGCTGACCGAATCCACCTTCAATCCCTTCTTCACGTTCGATTTATCCCCATTACTTGGGCTCGATTGTGCGCTCAAATTATTTGCTGAACATGGCTTCTTCGATTTCCTCACCGGTTTTAGAGTTGGCGGTGGCGTTGCGCGTTTGCCATTTGCAGTGGAAAGTGGTGAAATCTTGCCGTTTAAAACGAGAACTTGTTCCCGCTCCTTATTGTCGATTATAGCGTGAGTCGACGACGGAAACTCTACTCGATCGTGATCTTCCTCGATTTCGTTTCCATATTGCTTCTTGCTGTTTGCAAAAGGGCGTTCATCAACGTCGACTGAACCTGTTGCAGCTTGTGTAACGCTCAAATCGGTACCTGTCGTTTTGATTGTTCTGGATCGCGCCAAGAAATCTTTTAGGAATTTGTTGTGAACGTGGTGCACTTTCACTTCATCGACTTGTTCATCTCGAACACGGCCGTTGTTGATGTGCATAACGAGTGGTGTAGGTTGTGCTGGTTGCCGCTGTCTAGGTAGTTGCCACTCCCCGTTTGACCCTTTGACAAGCCACCGCTGCACCATGGTCGTGAATGCGCTTTCAATGCCGTTGCTGGCGCTGTCAGCATTTCCAGTACCTTTTCCTTGCCTTTGTGCACTCATCCTTCTCTGCAATTCCACAAAATGAGCTCCTACGATTTTGTCCTCGGTGCGACGAGGCATTTGAAAGCAAAAAAGTCTTCTTGACATTTGTATTTAGTCTCTTAAAATTTGGGACACTTTTTACACCGCTGCGCTAGGCTAAGTTGCCGAGCGTTTTAACTCTGCTGTTGTTGCTGGCAAAGTTGCTGCTCTTGCAGCGTCAGAGACAGCATGCGCAGCCGCTGGACCTCCTCCTCCAACACGAAGCTTTGCTTACGTTCGTCCATGTAGCGCGTCTCAAACTGTCCACAGCGGTGCCTCAACTCGTCGTTCTCTTCCGACAAGCACTCGATTTCCAGCGTTCGGTGACGCGCCTCACGCTCAGCTGCGTTAATCAACGAGTGAAGAGATTCGTTGGCTTGCGTCAACCTGTCGACCTTCTTGTGCAGTTCTCGCTGTACGCGTAATCAAGTGGAAATTAATTAACACATTCTGGAGGGTTAAGCAAATAATGTGGAGCTTACCATCTCTTCGTCTCTCGTCTCACCATTATTGCTATCGAGATAAAACAAAATCGGGCATCAGTCATGCGATCGAGAGCAAAATACATGCAGCAGGTGGTACGTACATGTTGGCTCTTTGACGCTTGAGTTCGCTGATCTGCGTAGGAATGGTCATAAGCTGCTGTTGCTGTTCCTGAAGCACATTGATGATCTGCTTTAGATCGTGCTGTTGTCGGATAAGCGAGGCTATCGTCTGCTGTTGCTGTAGGAATTGGGCGGTCGAGATGGTAACTGACGTTTGTGGCAGGTTGATCACACTTCCGTTGGTCTTAGAGACCTTCATGAGCTGCGATGACGGTGTGGTGGGTCGAACTGAAGTCGGAGTGACCGTAACAGTTGTATCGCAGTCCGGGATCGCCACGCTAGTCACTGATCCTGCATTGGTATTGGTCGTCATAATTGTGGCACCAGCAGAGGCGATGGCAGAGTTCAGGACGCCGTTGGCCAGTGGGTCCAATGTCTCGGTCACTGACAGAGGTGTCGAGTGTGAGTAGGTGGCTGCTTCTGGCTGCAGTTTTTGGTTTCCGCTGGGGGCTCCCATTTCCATAGACTCAACTAGCTCACGGGTCGGGCTCTCACTTCGTCGACGGTGACGACGCATGGACGAGTTTTGACGAAGACGAGGCATGGAGCGTGTCACTCGCTTCGGTTTGTTACGACGCTCGAAGTTGTCGGAGCTGCGACTCAGCTGGTTGTCCAGTCTGGGGGAAATCTCAACCGAAGCTCCTCCGACCGACGTCGTGGTTACGAAGCGATGATCGTACAGCTGCTCAGAGAAGTCACACATACGTCTTAGCTCGACACACAAAGCAGTAGTAGTTTCAATGGCTTCATACGTCGTCGGCGTTCTTCCTGGAGGTCGGTGAGTCCGATGCAAGTTCGATAATGGTGAAGCGCCCTCTGCGTTTGATCCTTTGAAAAAATCACAAGCACACATAGCCAGTAAGTCAAAAATTCTGGTGCGAGCGTTCCGCTTTGACGCGAAGCGACTACACTAAAGAGAGTGACGACGACGCACCGGCGGGTGCGCTGCACCGTTTTCTTGGGAGACGAGCACTTTCGCGATGGCGAACCGGGAGCCGCCCTCACACTGGCAGTCGCAGCGGTCGACACCTCGCTCACGGAATGCCCCGCAGAAGCTTCCGTCTACGATTGTACCACGTCAGTTTTACAACCTTCTTTTCAGTAAAGTAAGCTTAAAACAATGCTAAAGATTCATACCTCCGGTGAGATACCAGTAGACAGGTTCGGTACGGGTGGCACCAAGACCGTCTCAGGCGGCAGCGTGTGGGTCTCGGGGGGCAACTCCATCGTTGGAGTGCGTTCCATAGCCGCAATCTTCTCGATGCCAACGACATTGCCGTTCCTCTCCACCAATTTAAAATGCTGGAGAGGTGCAGACTGCGGCTGGATAGCCACTTCGCCGCTGCTGCCGGCAGACACGGGTGCACTTGCTGACGTAGGGAAGTCCGCGACCGACACCTCGTCGTCCTCGAACGTAGGAGACGACATGCGCGGCGAGTACGGCGACCCAGGGATAATCTCAGTGATGGTAAAGCGACCCTTTTGCTCCACCCGCTTACGCCTCAACTCCATCGTAGCTTAGCGCTTGGGGAAGCAGGACCTTGATGGCCCCAGTGCCAGATAGCAAATTTGTCTGTGGAGGTCCACGCACATAACCGGGTGATGCAAAGAAACGGTCTGCTAAAGTTGCTCGTCAAATCTACACGCAACATAACGATTGTTCCATTCGAAAGCACGTCACGGCTGTAATGGCGGCGCCAATTCCCGCCGGCTCGCAGCGCAAGTTCGGCCCCAAATGGGAGCTCAAGTACGCCGTGGCCGTGACGGAGCGCGATCAGCTGACACAGATACCTACGAAGGCTGTGTGCCTCATGTGTCAGGCCTTCGAGCGTGAGGAGGCTGTGGGTTCCAAGCGCAAGAAGACAAGCCGCGTCCGCAGCTTTTCGGCACCCTGGCGCCCTGACAATATGAAGCGCCATATGGAGCAGCAGCATCCATTGCGCTGGGAAGAGTACCAGAAACTTACTGATGGCGAGAAACGCGTCTATTTTTCTGCTCGCGAGGTAATGGCGATGTCTGGAGGAGATGATGCGGTGCCATCTCTGGTGGTGCCTCCCATGGTCAGTGAACCTACGCCTAGTGCCGAAGCGTATGCTCTAGCTGCTCAGTATAGAGCTTTCCTGGTCGACAAAGATATCGTGGAAGAGCTCATTGCTGGCGTCCTGTTTCAGACGACCAACGACGAATATCGCAATGCGTGGAACGTGCCGCTGACGTTCACGCTGCTTGAGGAAGCCAGTGCGGCGCTGAACAATGCAGACATTGACGTGAACGAATCACGCTATGTTGCGCGAGTGGAATCTCTGCTAAAGTTTAACATGTGCTTGAAGTACGTGGCCATGGGCTTATCGCTCAGCCAAGTTGTCCCGCTTCTCCAGAAGACGGCCGAGGAAACCGGAATGGATGCGAGTTTGAGTGGATCTTCGTTCACAGAGCAGCAGCTGGCGTGTTTGTGCCGCGTGGCGTGTGCTGTCAACTTCCAGACTCTTAAAGATACGCTTCGTCGCGTGTGGGCGTTTACTATCGCGCTTGAACAGGGAAATGACGCCGCGTCGCCGTATTTGGACGTTCGGGTACGATTTGAGCGCGACGCTCAGTTGCTTGATTTCCATTTGGTTTCCATACCCATTCGAGAGGATTCGCCACAAATCATCCGGCATCAAAGTGAACTTGTCGTCAAGTGTTTAGACATTGTGGCGCCTGCATGGAAAGCGCAACTAATTGGGGTCACAACCTCCGACTCGTTCGCAAAAATGCCTTCGTGCTCTCGAGTTATAGTGAACCGTCTGGCGCAGAGTTGCGTGGCTTCCTTTTATTGTGAGTGGGGTCTCCTATCGCAACTTGAGCTGGCAATCCAGGAGTCTTTCAACGGGTTGTGCAACCAGAGGTTCATGGCTGGATTAACGTCACTAGTTGGACATTTCCGTCGTCAGCGAGCACTGATCCGTGAAATGAATGGAGAAATGTGCCCTAAATTCGAAGACGGGCAGTGGCGATCCGTTGCAAGTGTACTCAAATGGTTTACTGTGCACCGCGCACGTCTGTTCAATTGCGTGCAGGATACGCAACCTCCCAAGGCTGCTGGGAAGGAGTGGTGGGTCACTGTCATTGCTGTCAATGGCATTATGGAGCGTGTGAACGTTGCACTCACGATGTTGCGTGGACCTTCCGCTGCATTGGGATCAGCTCGGCGGGAATACGTTGCTAAGCTTGTGACGGATCTCGCCGTGGTGACCGGTACTCTTGGACCTTTGGCGGTGTCACAGCAGAGTAATGGCCATAATATTGAGTTTGGGGATTTCTCAATGAGTCGAGAAGCCGCGATTTCGTTCTTGAAGGAGCAAGGCAGTTTTGTGATGAACGCAGTTAACGAGTTAGAGGTGAACTTCCCAGCTTGTTGCCAAGCTGCGGTGGAATCTACAGCAAATTTCGCGGTGTCTGTCATAGCTAGAACACATCAGATCATGCTGGAATGCGACGAGAACAGCAACAGCACAGCGAGTTTAAACACTGCAATGCCTCCGTTCCTCCCACAAGCGTTGTGTAAGACGCGAAACCAGTTATTTGCGACTCATTTGCAAGCACAACGAGTGCGTTTATTGCAACATTATTCGGCTGACCAGATCGAGCAGATTGAAGACCAGCATCGAATGCTACGCACATCGTATCAGCTTGATGAACACGTGAGCCAAGTAATCAACGCGATACCAGCAACCTGTTCATTTGCTGAGGCCTGGAAAGATGCCCGATTTGGAGGAAATGATTGCAGGCTTCTTCGCGAGTTCTGCGGGGCGATTGCATGCGCAGCGATAGACCCGCGTGCGCTGAAAAATGCTTCCGAAGCCGAGTTTTTGTTGATCAATTGGCGAAGGAGCCCTTTCGGTCTCTCACTCGTAGATTTCGCGTTAGAAGCAGTACTACAAGCCCGACAGTATCGTGCTCTGTCTCGCTTACGAGGGTGCAGAGGGCTTTGAGTACTACAATCAAGAGTGACATGTGAAGTCTTTTGAGTTACAGTCCGATATGTTAAAATGTTTGTCCTATTTTGCTAGCTCGTGCAAACAATAAGTAATGTGACAATTGTAGCGAGGAAGGTAAGCGAGCACATTGTGGCGAACACCGGGAACTTGTGCTTGCGGTCCGTCACTTTGACGAGCTGCTCTGGAGGTTCTGCTCCGTTGGTGGGCACCCTTGGATCCACCCCATACAACACCTCAAAACGGGGTTCCTGCCAACGGCAACATATCCATCAGAATTTTGGATTCTGTACAATTGTAAAAATAGGCAAACACACCCAGAAGTCAGGTAAAATGTCGATGATTATAGTCAAGTCTTCGTTTGCCGGGCTCCAGTCTCCAAGAGCTATTCGTTTGCTCACTTCTACTTGGTCGTGTCTTCGACTTGTCAAAGGTCTCAAATTCGTGAAATTTGCAGTTTCCACAGCGATTAGCGAGTGGCCGACCAACACAAGCAGCGCGAGTTGCACTACACGTCCACATGTTGCCATCATCGTGAGATCTTTGCACTGGCAAGTGTTGGTCTCCGATAAAAAAATGACATGTGAAACGACGCAGAAACTTGTCTACATAATCGCTCATGAAACGCAATTTTACCCAATGACAAACATTCGCGCGTTTTTTGCAAAATGCCAGCGGATGGCCAATGGCCAACAACTCGCGGCCATTCCGCATTTTGACGTCAACTATCAATAACAACGGCTGACGCTGAAGTGCAAACGAGAGTGATGGTCGCCAGTTCGTTTCCAGATGACGCTGTGGCACAGCAGTCCATGCCAGACCTTGTGGCCTTGGAGAAGATTGAGGAGGAGGAGCGTAAGGAGCGCGAGGTCCGTGCCGCCAAGGAAGCCGTCAAGGCGGAGCCCGTGGAGGTGACGGGCGAGAAGATTGCCAAACTCGACTCTCTTCTAGAAAAAGCCAGTCTCTACTCGAGCTTTCTTTTCTCCAACATGGACAGTGCCGCTACTGTCAGCGACGTTGTGAAAGCTGAAGAGGAAGAAGAGGAGGAACAGCCCACAAAGGGCAAGCGTAAGCGCGGTAAGAAGACGTCGCAGGAGGTCAACAAGAAGACCAAAAAGGGTGTTGACAAGTTGCGCAAAGTACAAGGCGACGCGTCCTTAGACACGCGTCAGCAGCCTCAGAAGGTGGAATTCGAGCAACCCAAGCTGCTTACGGGCGGTACGCTCCGCGACTACCAGCTAGAAGGCATCCGATGGCTCTGCAACTTGTTTGAGAACGGTCTGAACGGCATTCTAGCAGACGAAATGGGTCTGGGTAAAACGATCCAAGTGATTGGTCTTCTAGCTCATCTAAAGGCGCTCGGCGTGCGTGGTCCGCACCTTATTGTGGCCCCACTCTCGACGCTGATGAACTGGGCGAATGAGTTCCGCAAGTGGGCTCCTAGCATGCCAGTTGTCATTTACCACGGCACCAAGCAGGAGCGAAAGGAGATGCGCAAGAATGCTCTCAACCGCAAGAAGAAGAGCGACGTCAACTTTCCAGTCGTCATTTCATCGTACGAGGTGATGATCTCAGACGCTAGAGCGTTTTTCAGCTCCGGATTCGTGTGGAAATACATGGTCATCGATGAAGGTCACCGACTGAAGAACATGGACTGCAAACTCGTGCGTGAACTCAAGCGCGGACGGTCAGAGAACCGACTGCTGCTTACAGGAACCCCATTACAGAACAACCTGACGGAGCTGTGGTCGCTGCTCAACTTTATCCTCCCTGACGTATTTGACGACCTTGAGCTCTTCGAGAGCTGGTTCTCGTTTACTCCGGACGCTGTTGCCACTGCTGCTGCTACGGGTGAGTCGGTGGCAGCGCAAGATGTGCTACAGGGAGAGAAGAAAGTCGAGGTGATCGGCAAGCTGCATGAAATCCTCCGCCCTTTCCTGCTTCGTCGCTTGAAAGTGGACGTGGTGGAGGAGATGGTCTCGAAGACGGAAATTTTTGTCTACTGCTCGATGACTCCGATGCAACGGGAGTACTACCAGATGATTCGCGATGGCACACTTGCGAAGGCTATGGAAGAAAAGTACGGCAAGTTTCAAGCGCAGAAGGCGTTCAATACGACGACGTTGAGAAACAAGATGATGCAGCTGCGCAAATGCTGTCTCCACCCGTATCTTTTCGACGAGCCTTTGACAGCCGGTGGAGACGTTGTCACGGATGAGAGGATGATAGAAACGTCGGGAAAGCTGAGTATTCTGGATCGGATGCTCAGGCAGCTCAAGCGCAAGGGCCATAAAGTGCTTATTTTCAGCCAGATGACACGGATGATGGACATTCTGGAGGACTACTTTCGCATGCGCGAGTACAGCTACTGCAGACTGGACGGCAGCACCAAACTGATGGATCGTGTTGACCAGATGGAGAAGTTCAACAAGGTGTCGGCTGGATCAGGGTCTGCTAACGACGACGACAACGTCTTCGTGTTCATGCTGTCGACACGTGCTGGCGGTCTCGGTATCAATCTGATCGCAGCTGACACCGTCATTTTCTACGACTCGGACTGGAACCCTCAGCAGGACAACCAGGCCATGGATCGTTGCCACCGAATCGGTCAGAAGAACGAGATCATCGTGTATCGTCTTGTGACTGAGAACTCTTTCGAAGACCGCATGACTCAGCGAGCTTTCGAGAAGCGCAAACTCGAGCGCGTTGTCATTCAACGTGGCGGATTTAAAGAGCGAACGACCCCAGCTGAGAGTGCTAAGCTGACAAATACGGAATTGGAGGATTTGCTACGAGACGACGTGGAGATCCGTCAGGGCGTCGAGAGCGGAGGTATCACCGACGACGAGCTGAATCAAATTCTGGATCGTGAATTAGTAGTCAAGAGCTTTGTGAAAACCTCCAAGGAGGAAAACGCAAAGGCATCAGGTGTGATCCCACTCAAGGGCGATGGCTACGAAGTGGTCGACAATGCCCCCGCATCCATGGAGAGCTTTGCATAGAGCTTCTGAATGCCGTTATCAATCATGTCAATACAGTTCCCATTAGTACTCCACTTCACTACGTATTTGAGCAAGATTCGAGCGTTTTTGTGACTGTCTCCTGCTCTTGGAGGAATGTCGTGCTAAACGCCGGAGGAGATCGCATCGTCGACAGCAGGAGAACGAGCTGTCGAGCTGCCTCAATGTACTGAGGTGCATGTCGCTTGCTGTGGTTTTCTTCGTGACAAAGTTTCAGTAGCATCTTATCAATCAGACTGCATCATGGAACACACACACAAATGTCAGAATGGGGTGAAAGGAGAAATATCAAAGAGCACACTACTCACGAGGCGTTCACTTGCTGTGAAGTTCCCGTGATAGGGACGCGATGATACACCCATTGCCATAACTGCGCACGAGAAATTTCAGCCGTGGCTGAGTCTTCAACACACCCATTAACCACGACAGTGCCTTGTCCGTGCAGCCAGTGCAGCACGTAGAGAAGTGCTACACGAACGTTCATCTCCACGGACCGTAACGTGACGTGCCCTCTGGGGAGAGTGAGCAGCTTTTCAGTGAACATTTTTTCGTCAAAAGCAACAGATGACGATCTCGTCTTGCCCGTGCGTTCGCGTGGTGTCGTAAATACCTCTGCTACGGGTGTAACAAGCGCCAAGTCGTATACCAACGCGCCGTCAGATCCAGCCAGAGCCTCCATCGATTTCCCAGATCGAGTTTTATCAATCGCTTCGGCTTGTGATAATCCCGATGGCAATTCTGAAAGAACAAACGGAACCATGCCGGTAGTTGCCGGTGCATTTCGACGCTTGCAAGTGGAAATCAGCAGATCCATGTAGTATCTGAATAAAATAAAAAGTCTCAGATATTTTGTCCACCGAAGGAGTCACAAAGCGCATCGTCCATACCTGAGAAAGTCAGATTTCATTGATACATACTGCTGACGGTCTGGCAGCAAGAACTCGGGCCGATGGCGGAAATTGACCACAATAGACGCCGTGTAGTCCCACATGCCGCAGTTTAGGCCTGACGAGTGATGACGAAGCTCAAACAGAATCTCATCCATCTCGAATGCAGCAAAAATGTTCTCGATCAACACCGTCGCCTTGATGCTTCCCTGTTATGTATACCGACATCGACACTGTACCATTAGAACCCCAGTCTGACATAGTTAAAGCAGCAGCAGAAGAGATTACGTGGGCAAACTCGAGTTTCTTCTCCGTAAACTCGAAGATTCTTCGCCACAACGCGGCTTCCTTGTATCCTTCCAGCTGTAGCACATGAACAATATTTAGATGTAGATTGCGTTGGCTACATGACAATGCCAGGGTAGTCTCACCTTGGGGAGATATAAGAACGGCCCTCTTCCACTACCTAAAAGATGTTTACCGCTGCATCATTGGCGAAAGTTAGTTATTAGAGGTGTACATGTAGTTGCGTGGCCTGGGAATAGTGAAGACGTCACTTACTTGTGGAACAGGTGCATTCCAAAATCAAAGAGCGCGCCAGGCACAACACGCCCGTTCACTACCATGTGCTGCAGATACTAAGCTCGTGAGCAAAGGCCACAGCACCGAGTCATATACTCATGGAGACGCACCGGCTCGTCCATATTCCAAGCCCGTGGACGGACAATTAGAAGCGCTGGGTTGGCGACAGTTGTCTCTCCAGAGACCTCCAGCAGGCCGCGAGCTGCTTGTAGAAGATTAAAGTGGCCTTGAATTGTGTTGCTCCATGTCGGACAGTGTCCGTCATCGAAGTCCACTTGCACACCCTGCATGGTACCAACAAAACAATCAGTATAGTTAAATACCCCTCCGTCTAAGCCTCGTACCTGCGCTCCAGAGTTCATAGCACGCAGCAGGAAGTCTTGATTGGCAGGAGACACGTCTCCGATATCGACGCGTCGATCCCTCAGCGCGGCCGGTTGCGGATCGATCCGCCACGTTCCATCTTCTCGGATCGCGCGGGTCTCTTCCAGGAAATGAGGCATCTCTTCATTCTGCTCCGTAGCCAGACGTCGAGATTTACGTCTTGCGAGCAGCTACATACTATTTTGTTAGCAACTGATGATAGTACTGAAGAGCAACAATAAATATAAAATTCACCTGCCCAACATCTTGTTGGAATGCAGCCGCCAGTTCAGCCACAAATTCGAGTGCGGCAGGTGAGAGCACCGCTTCATAAGCGTTTTGAGGGCACGCCAGGTCTCTGTTCGATATGAACACGTCGGTAGACGTAGCTACTGGCGCTGGAGCCGCGCTAATCTGAGCATGCAATCGGTTGATACGCTCCATGATCAAGATCGAAAATGATCTGATTCTTTTCTTTTACGTGATCGTATTGGCTGAAATTCATTATGACCAATGCGAGGGTGTAAAGATTATTGAAAAGCTACTCCATCAATTATGGAGGTCCGGGTGAGGCTCGTGTTTGCGGACGAGGTGGGGCGCTACGTTCAGCGGCGTCGTGGCTTCTCATCGTGCTGGTATCTGCTCCCAGTTGATGTAAAGCTTGTGTGCGACCTGGTGCACGTGCTGTTGCGGGAGTTTGAGCTGCGCAAAAGATGTCCTAAAGGACTGGAGCTGCGAATCGAGGAGCTGCCACTTCTGGCTACTCAGAGCATCCGCATCGTTCGAGATAACGATACAATTGCCATCCACTGCCCTCCGCTAGAGGAAGAGAAGAACAATTGCAGCGGCTCGGAGAGCGAGGCGGAAGTTATAAGAAAGAGAAAGCGGAAGCTGCTCGTAAAGAAGAAACAGAAGCAGCAAGATCAGCCGAAGAAGAAGAGCAAAACGGAGAAGGAGGTGAAAGACCGACAACGTGCAAGTACTGAAGGTCGCGAAATGGTTGCAGTGAAGACACTTGCTAAGAGCAGCAAAGCTGATAGCTCCAGCTCGAGCTCTAGTTCGAGCAGCGACGACGATAGCAGTAGTAGCTCCAGCTCCAGTTCCAGTAGCAGCGACTCAGAGGATGAAGCTACAGCACAACCCAATACGAAGCGCGTGGCTCAGCTCGTCACCGCAAAGCAGCAGAAGGGGAAGCTGAAAGCAGTGGCTTCCGCAAAAGCATTCAATGGCAAAGCAAGCGCGGCTAATGTATCGAATTCGACGCAAAAGGAACCACGACGGAGACGTCGCCGGCTGAGGCAGCGGAATGGAAGACGGCAGAGAAATGACAACCAAGCAAATAACGCGGACGGTAACGGCTCCACACCACTGTCTGGGAACAGCACTGCTTCACTTGGCGCAACTGCTTCAGCTCCAATTTCATCCTCAGAACGACAAAATGGTGGCAGCACTGCTGGTCCTAGAGGCTTTGCTCGATCCAAAGCCCATGTCCTCTTTGACGAGGTAACTGGAGACCGAGTTGCTGTACAACACAATGAAACTGTACCTGACACTAGGGAAGACAGCTCGTTTCATCGACGATCTCCAGCGCCGGAACTGGCGAAATACGGCCCTTCATCGTCGGATAACCCACGACTTAAAGCCCCTCGCGATAGCCACGATCGTCCATTCAATGGAAAAACTGAAAGAGATGGAGAAGCCACAGACTCGAATGATGCAAACAAGCGAAGGGGAAAAGGAAAATATGAAGAAAGGTGGAAACGGCCGTACAAAATCCTGGCGACTGTGTTCGACAAGAATTTACAGAACTCAAGCAAAAACAGCTCGTCGCCCCCGGTACGCAAACTTTGTCTAAGGTGGAGGAGTGAAGGTACTAACGGTGATTGTTTCGTAACCAGGACCTCTCCAAAGCGTTGGCTTCGTACCCGACTAGACCTGCCACATCATCGCGCTTTGAGCCGAAGGATGTAATTGCCTTCAAAACGCTCACACTGTGCCTCGAAACGTGGCAACCTGTGCTGAGCGAGTGGAAGTGTGGGCAGGTGCAGTCTGTGGATGCGTCGGGTAGTTCTTTCGAGGTTTCAAGCTGGTCTCTTGAAGTCGATGGCGAGTCCGTGGACTTTCGCGAGTCACCAAGTGAAGAATCGATCAGCGTGCAGACCAGCGAGATCAGCGAGCTGAGGTTCTTGAGCGGGCCTAGCTACGATTCGCTGCAGCAAATCACATCAAGCGAGACAACGTAGATTCTTGATAAGGCAGTCGGTTGTCATAGACATGCTAGCACAATGGGCAACCAGACCTGTCACCGCTCGCAAGATCACTCCATTTCTTGCACAATTGTTTTCCTTTATATTAAGTCGAATTCGATGAAGAGAGTACACGCACGAATAACATCGCCAGCTAGCTACGAGTCTGACATCAGACACACTACTGTGACCTTCTGGCAGTCGGCCACTTACACGTTCGGGCCGTACACCGACAGGTCGTTGCCCGGTAGGATGAATTGCTTGAAGTTCTCCTTAAACGACTTGGCCAGCTTGAGTGCCGTCTCGTCGAATGCAGCCTTGTCCGTCCACGAGTCCTTCGGGTTCAGGATCTCCGACGGCACGCCCTCCACGGTCGTGGGGATCTCGAAGCCGAACAGCGGGTCCTTGACGAACGTCGCGTTGTTGATGCTGCCGTCCAGCACCGCGTCCACGCACTTGCGCGTGAACGGGAGCTTCATGCGCTTGCCCACGCCGTACACACCGCCAGTCCAGCCCGTGTTGATCAGGTACACGTGCGTGTTGTGCTCCTGCAGCTTCTTCTTCAGCAGGTCGGCGTACAAGGTCGGGTGCAGCGTCATGAACGCAGCGCCGAAGCACGTCGAGAACGTCGCCTGAGGCTCCGTGATGCCGCGCTCCGTGCCTGCCACCTTGGCCGTGTAGCCCGACAGAAAGTGGTACTGAGCCTGACCAGCAGACAGCTTCGACACGGGCGGCAGCACACCGTACGCGTCGCACGTGAGGAAGATCACGGCGTTCGGGTGGTTGCCGCGAGAGTTGGGCTGGTGGTGCGAGATGTGGTAGATCGGGTACGACACACGGCCGTTCTCCGTCTTGCTCGAGTTGAAGTAGTCCGGCTCGTTGTTGGCGTCGATCCACACGTTCTCCAGCATGGCGTTCGGGCGGATGGCGTTGAAGATGTCCGGCTCGTTCTCCTTGCTCAGGTCAATGGTCTTGGCGTAGCAGCCGCCCTCGAAGTTGAACACGCCCTCGTCGTCCCAGCCGTGCTCGTCGTCGCCGATCAGCTCGCGCTTCGGGTCGGCAGACAGCGTCGTCTTGCCCGTGCCCGACAGTCCGAAGAAGATGGCCGTGTCGCCCTCCTTGCCGATGTTGGACGAAGCGTGCATAGCCATCACGCCATTCAGAGGCAGGAAGTAGTTCATCATACTGAAGATGCCCTTCTTCATCTCGCCACCGTAGAACGTACCACCGATGATGGCCATGTGCTTCTCGATGTTGAAGATCACAAACACCTCCGAGTGGAGTCCGTGGGCCTCCCAGTCCTCGTCCACGATGTTGCACGCGTTGATGACAGTGAAGTCGGCCTGGAAGTTCTCCGCCACGCTAGCGAACTCTGGGCGGATGAACATGTTGGTCACGAAGTGGTGCTGCCACGCCAGCTCCGTGATGATACGCACGTTTAGGCGGGACTTCTCGTTCACACCGCAGTGGCCGTCGAACACATACATGCGGTCCACGGAGCTGAAGTGCTTGGAGGCCTTGGCGTACAGCGCGTCGAACACCTCGGGCGTCGTGGGCTGGTTGATCGAACCCCACCACACATTGTCCTGGGACGGCTCCTGCTTGACAATGAACTTGTCCTTGGGCGAGCGGCCAGTGAACTTGCCAGTGTCCACGGCGAACGTGCCGTTGGCCACGAACGTGCCCTCATTGTACTGCTTCTCGTGGTCCGCGAGCTGTTCATACGTCAGGTTGTGGAACACCTTGCAGCCGTTCTCGATGCCGAGCTCACCCAGATTCAGAGCGGCGGTCGTGGGTCTGTGCTGCGCCATCTTGTCGGTAGGTTGGAGCTACTTGTCTTGTAGTTGGATAAAGTTTGAGCTGAACGTGCTCAGACCGAGGCCAATTGGAAAGTGAGCGTCGTGCTGGAAAACGTGTCAGAGTCGACGTCCGTCCGAGACGTCCGTGGTTGTGCACTGCGAGCGCGGGAGCAGAGCAGTGCACGCTACGTCCCAACACCTCTGCGACCCGATGTGAAGCACGGCGACGTTGCATTTGGATCGGAGCCCTACCACAGTCGAGCGACAAAGAGGCGGACATGACACGCCCTTGTCGACGTTGTTTGTTTCCTGTGCCATGCCACGTCTCTGGTGGCACTTAGTACTTACGAGGATGAAGTGTTGACTATTCGCGGTTAAGTTTTCAAATTAAGTAGACGTGAGGACGCTTACCGTTTTATGAGTTAACAGATCGTAATGGACGATGGTTTTCATAAGGAGTTCGATCTCGCACAGTTAAGCAGACATAATACCCTACCTGTACTCGGGTATTAACTCTGTAGTGCGCTCCCTTGTATCTCCGCCGTGAGCCTTAAGGGGGCTGAGGTCTTTAAAATGCGTTTCACGTGTAATTGCGCTGGACACGCAAGAAAGCGTAGTGACAGGGAATCGTCACGAGCGGCTCGTCCCGAATGGAGCAGAGAAACGACATCTGATAACTTCAACAATCGAGCTAATGTCAGCTACCGTCAGTGACGGTCCGTCACTCAGGGCCATCTATTTTTGGATGCATATATTTAAATAAAAAAATGTAGGCGGCATCTTCCCGCTTCCTGTGCTTCGATGTCTCTCTTTGCCGGGATGAGTGGCTACGACGGGCGTGTGAAAGGCAAACGCATCCGCAAACCACATGCCGGGAACTCCAACATGGAAGCGCGATGGAAATACTTAAGCGCAGACGTATCTGATGTAGTCAACAAACCGGTCGCCAAACTCCGAGCAAAGGCGGTGGCAAGGAGAGAATCCAGCATTAAGGCAGAGAAGGTGCCTCTAAAAGCCGGCTACGATATTGACGGCGATGGATTCGTGGATGTCCGTGAAATGCGCCTTGCTAAGTTCCTGGATGCAATGCTGTTCGAACGGCGAAAACAAGGACAGAACGATGGTCCTGAGCCGACCGAAGCCGAGGTGCTGGCAATGCATCAGAGCGCCGGCCGGTTACTCATCGCAAAGGAGTTCGTAGAACGCAACCATGATCGACTGTGGCGCTACGGCTCCATCTTCACAGGAATGAATGATGACCAGGCAGCCGAGTTCATCGCTGCGCATAAAAACTTTAAGAAGTTCATGCCGTTCCTCGAGAGCACAGAACGCAATCGCACGGTCCGCTCGTCGCATCAAATGCGCACGTGTATCCATGGTGAAGTCACTGCCGACACTTTGTCCGATGAACCTACAGAGCGACAGACATGGATTGAAACGACCCGGAAGATGCGGAGTCTGTCGTTCACAAAACACCCACTGCCGGAACTGGAGCCCAAGAAGAAGAAGAATCTCGTGTCTTCTGCTCTCGTTACCAACCAGGTTGATCCGATAGATCGTTGTTTGACTGCCAGCGCGAGCAGCCCCGAGGTGTTCTCTAATGCCTACGGCGCCATCGATATCGACGGAGATGGTATCGTAGACGCCGACGAAATGAAGCTACATTTGCGTCTGCATGACAACACAAGCAATAACACCGACGATATGAAGGCGTCCCAAATGCAGCAGCGTAAGATAATGGTGGCAGATTTCGTGCAACGTAATGCGGGCCAGATGTGGCTGTATGACGCGAGCTTCCGGCACAAGTCTACCGAGCAGATCGTAGACGAAATTGCAAGTGGTCCCGGGTTTGCCGCTGAGTTTAACCGGTTGCGTGCCAAGGAGCGCTTCGTCAAGCTCACCTCGTCGCTGGGCGTATCTGGCTGCATTGTACAGTTGCCTACAGCCGAGCTGCCCGTTGACCCGTCCAACTCGCTTGAATTTCGGCGGGTCAAAGATCGCTCGGAGCTGCTAATGGCACGCAAAGAGCTTCTGAAGCCGCTCCAGCAGCGTCGGGGCCTTCCTGTGGGCGGCGAAGGCGGAGGCAGTTCTCCGGGGGGCCTTCGCTTCCGGCCACGAGGCATCCGAGAGGAGCACGGTGATATGGGACACTCTCGAAGCGAAGGCAGTTTACCCATTGGACTTCCACAGATATACGATGCGCCGGTCAAAATCGAACCAACGAGAACATTTTCAGTCACAAAGTGGTGCCTAGAGACAAACTAAACTAAATATATTTTATTCCACGAGCCTTGTCGCTTTGCAGCAGAAACCTTCTCCACGTCGGTGGTTTCCTCCAGCCGTTCCGCATCTGTGGGGTTTCACAGATGGGTGATAACCAAATACCAAACCAAAAGGGTTCGTGAAACCGATCAAACCAGTTGAAGGACTTCACACTATCAACCACCAGTGACGGAGCCTACGCCGACAAATGAGCTCCCAGCAATCCTATGAGCGGCGTGTCCTGCCAATGGAACCGCGCCACTGGCAGTGTTCCTGCTCTCCCTTTGAGTCCAAGCAGCGACTGTATCGTGGGACGACTCGACCGCCGGAACGTACAGAAAGCGCCCGCTTCAAACACGTGATTGGCTTGAACCTGTCTATTGCAATACCTAAACTGGCAACTTATATGAGCTTATTAAAAACTTCCACTTCGTAGGTACTAAGTGCCACCAGAGACGTGGCATGGCACAGGAAACAAACAACGTCGACAAGGGCGTGTCATGTCCGCCTCTTTGTCGCTCGACTTTGGTAGGGCTCCGATCCAAATGCAACGTCGCCGTGCTTCACATCGGGTCGCAGAGGTGTTGGGACGTAGCATGCACTGCTCTGCTCCCGCGCTCGTAGTGCACAACCACGGACGTCTCGGACGGACGTCGACTCTGACACGTTTTCCAGCACGACGCTCACTTTCCAATTGGCCTCGGTCTGAGCACGTTCAGCTCAAACTTTATCCAACTACAAGACAAGTAGCTCCAACCTACCGACAGGATGGCGCAGCACCCGCCGCTCTGAATCTGGGTGAGCTTGGCATCGAGAACGGCTGCAAGGTGTTCCACAACCTGACGTATGAACAGCTCGCGGACCACGAGAAGCAGTACAATGAGGGCACGTTCGTGGCCAACGGCACGTTCGCCGTGGACACTGGCAAGTTCACTGGCCGCTCGCCCAAGGACAAGTTCATTGTCAAGCAGGAGCCATCCCAGGACAATGTGTGGTGGGGTTCGATCAACCAGCCCACGACGCCCGAGGTGTTCGACGCGCTGTACGCCAAGGCCTCCAAGCACTTCAGCTCCGTGGACCGCATGTATGTGTTCGACGGCCACTGCGGTGTGAACGAGAAGTCCCGCCTAAACGTGCGTATCATCACGGAGCTGGCGTGGCAGCACCACTTCGTGACCAACATGTTCATCCGCCCAGAGTTCGCTAGCGTGGCGGAGAACTTCCAGGCCGACTTCACTGTCATCAACGCGTGCAACATCGTGGACGAGGACTGGGAGGCCCACGGACTCCACTCGGAGGTGTTTGTGATCTTCAACATCGAGAAGCACATGGCCATCATCGGTGGTACGTTCTACGGTGGCGAGATGAAGAAGGGCATCTTCAGTATGATGAACTACTTCCTGCCTCTGAATGGCGTGATGGCTATGCACGCTTCGTCCAACATCGGCAAGGAGGGCGACACGGCCATCTTCTTCGGACTGTCGGGCACGGGCAAGACGACGCTGTCTGCCGACCCGAAGCGCGAGCTGATCGGCGACGACGAGCACGGCTGGGACGACGAGGGCGTGTTCAACTTCGAGGGCGGCTGCTACGCCAAGACCATCGACCTGAGCAAGGAGAACGAGCCGGACATCTTCAACGCCATCCGCCCGAACGCCATGCTGGAGAACGTGTGGATCGACGCCAACAACGAGCCGGACTACTTCAACTCGAGCAAGACGGAGAACGGCCGTGTGTCGTACCCGATCTACCACATCCCGCACCACCAGCCCAACTCTCGCGGCAACCACCCGAACGCCGTGATCTTCCTCACGTGCGACGCGTACGGTGTGCTGCCGCCCGTGTCGAAGCTGTCTGCTGGTCAGGCTCAGTACCACTTTCTGTCGGGCTACACGGCCAAGGTGGCAGGCACGGAGCGCGGCATCACGGAGCCTCAGGCGACGTTCTCGACGTGCTTCGGCGCTGCGTTCATGACGCTGCACCCGACCTTGTACGCCGACCTGCTGAAGAAGAAGCTGCAGGAGCACAACACGCACGTGTACCTGATCAACACGGGCTGGACTGGCGGTGTGTACGGCGTGGGCAAGCGCATGAAGCTCCCGTTCACGCGCAAGTGCGTGGACGCGGTGCTGGACGGCAGCATCAACAACGCGACGTTCGTCAAGGACCCGCTGTTCGGCTTCGAGATCCCCACGACCGTGGAGGGCGTGCCGTCGGAGATCCTGAACCCGAAGGACTCGTGGACGGACAAGGCTGCATTCGACGAGACGGCACTCAAGCTGGCCAAGTCGTTTAAGGAGAACTTCAAGCAGTTCATCCTACCGGGCAACGACCTGTCGGTGTACGGCCCGAACGTGTAAGTGGCCGACTGCCAGAAGGTCACAGTAGTGTGTCTGATGTCAGACTCGTAGCTAGCTGGCGATGTTATTCGTGCGTGTACTCTCTTCATCGAATTCGACTTAATATAAAGGAAAACAATTGTGCAAGAAATGGAGTGATCTTGTCGGCATACTGTGTTGGTTTGAGGCTTGTACTGGCAAGTTGAAGTGGGTTGGCACTCGCGTGGCGATTGGTCGGTATTTCCACGAATGAATTCAGGTTTAACTGAAAACTTTTAAGAGTCTAACTATGATGCTTTTTGTCTGTACAGTAGTGTTATTGTAGCTGCCTACCGAGACGTCCATTTCTCTCGCATAAGATTGCAGAATGGCGACAGTTTGGGACTTTGGCCAGCCACCGTAGCTAGCATCTCACTGACAGCAGAGTTGTCTGCATTGACTTGATGCAAGAGGTCCAAGACGTCTTCGCAAAGTGCGAGGATCTGCTTCTTGTTTTCTGACGATGGCGTGAATTCTGCACCTTCATCGAACAACTCGCAGAAAGCCACAGCACGTAGAACCCCAACCATAATCTCTTCAGTGTGCGATGCAATACGGGGCCACGCAGCCAGCACAGTAGCCTGTAGAGCCTCCAACGTCGCCAACAGTAGCGCAACATTGACGCTCTCGAACCCCGCGACCAACACCTTCAGCAGTGGTTGCAAGTAGCGAATGATGTTCAGACTATGCGGGGCGCCTTGTCGGACCACAAGAACGCGCAGATGTCGGACGAAGATTACTCGAACTGCAACATCACTACACAAACTTGTGTCGCTGAGCAAACGCGGTATAAATCGGTCGTAGTGTTTGAGCTCACCAGGAGGAGACACTCGGTCCAGCGACTCCATGAGACACTCAAGCAGCACGTTTAGCGTATCTGGCTTGCGCGTTACAATGGCTGTACGCAACACCTCCAGTAGAACATCCGAGTACCAGCGCAGCTCCGTTGGCGTGACGTTCTTCACGATATGACGCAACATCCGTGCACCCACAAGCTGCGTGGCGTCAGTCAGGTCGTCCACCAGCGGAAACGTGAGCGCTAGCAGACGGCCAAGTAGATCCCCACCTAGATGCGGGAACGGCACTTGTTCCACCACTTGCAACATGATTCTCTTGTTCACGGATGACACCGCCACCCACTGTTCTTTGTCCACGTCTTGCGAGCACAGCGCCACGATCTCCGCGACGTATTTTGCCACCAAACTCTCTCGATCTTTAGCTTTTGTGAGCTCCACAGCCGCGTTTAAAGTCTCCTCAGCTGCTACGACACTCTGCATTAGATCAGCACCTGGAAGCTCTGCCCCGTTCACGAAGATGCAGGCTGTCAGGACGAATGGCAGCCACCGATGCAGCTCTCTGTCCTCCAGCAGCTTTTGGAGTCTCATACGATTCACAAATGCGCCCAGGACACGCAAAATTGGCAGCAGATGATCGTCTAATACCATGCACGCTGTCACATTATCCTTATCCGCAGCAACCGCTGCGACATAATTGATAACCGCGCGACTTAGAGCTTTGACGACGCGGGTTACATCGCGCAACAGCGGATAATCGACGATGGGCAGGGCTTCTGCTAGTCTAGCTACGTCCCTCAGCTCGGTCGGTAAGGTGTGGGCGTCTACAGAGGCAGCCAGTAGCTTATCCCGCAGATTCTCCAGCGCAATCGCATCCAGCGCGCCCAGCAGCTCCACTACGGACATCGTGTCTAGGTAGCTCCACAAACTTTGACATATCCAATTTTTGAAACAAAATTCACAAATTAAAAAGCACTTTTTAAATATTCCCTTTTTTTCATAAAAGATTTAAAAAAAGTGGATTGTTTTCAATAAAAAACTGCCCAGGGTTTTTTTTTGCATAGCCGTGCGACTAATGACCAGGTTAAAGACCAGGAGAACAATTGGTAATTAACCAGGTTGTAAACAAAAAAGCAAATTACGAAGATAACCAAGAATTCCCCTTACCCTAACCAAATCAGTACAGGTGCAACTCCCATAATTGATGCTCTATCATCCAATATGGCGTGATAAATGATCAAAAATTGCCGTTTCACGATCTCCCGTTTTGCTTATATTGGAATTTGTATTGGCCTTAATATTATCTGTCTTAGCTGATATTTAATAGAGATCGGCTACCTCGATGATAATTTCAAATTGGCTTAGAGTGCGAGGTAATGAGTTGCTGCTTCTTGCGCACAAGCTTGTTCTTGTTGTACTCGAACAAGCTCCTGTTCAAATAGCTTCTAGTGATGCATAGCGCTTCTGTGGAATCGTTCTCAGCCATCAACTTGCGGAGAACGACATCCATCGCAGCAGCGAATTCAGCGTCATCAGGGATTTCATGCTGCTCTTCTTCGTCGTCATCCTCGATGCTATCATCACCATCCACGCCAATCACTATGTCTACAACTTCAGAGTCACTGTAGGCAAAATGCACTCCATTTTCACCTGCCGGATTCAGGATATCATCAACGGATGAGCAGCTTGAAAGCTGCAAAATCCCAACGGCCTGGACAATATCAGCCAGGGAGGCTTCCATTGAGCGCCGAGCTCCTAATCACAAGAATATCCACACTTCCTCTAACAGCTGACAATTTTATCGCACGACACTTCATTCCAGGCTAGTTTTACCCATCGCATCGCAGTCAACACGTCTACTTTGAACTAGTCCTTCTCGTTTCTGTCAGCCGCAGCTACAGCATGTATAAGCTGTAAACGTCTGTAGTGGGCTTTGAAGCATCCAATTATGCCTCCGTCCAAAGGCTGAAGTATGGCCGTAGCATTGGGTGGAAGGAATAAATTTCGACATGAGAGAGCTCCACATTCACGTGTGACGAAGCATTATCAATCAAAAGGATGATTTTTTTGTCGTTGCGTAGTATCTGAGCGTTAATTCGTTCCAACCAATAACGGAAAATCACGGTTGTCATCCACGGCTTTTGTTCGAGTTGTAGTGCGTGAAACCTAGCTCAAGAGGGGTATTTTTCTTGAAAGCACGGGGCTTTTTAGCATGCCCAATGAACAACGGCTCGAGCTGGCAGGTGCCTTCCATATTGACAACTAAGCCAATAGTGATCCTAGTCTTGTCGTGCTTGTTTCCTCGAAGCGAAGCATGCAATTTCCAATTGTAGTTGTTGAATGCAGCTATTCTAGGCCAACAGGCTTGTTGTGTGGACCACTTCATTTTCTATGAAATGATATCATTGCCTGAAATGATAATTGATGGCCGCCGTGGCGTCTCCCGTGGTAATTATTTGTGGGAGTTGAACCTGTATTTAAGATTTCTGATCCTGTGCGACAATATGACACCGGTAACAAAGTTCTTTCGAGCGCTCAGAAACATGAAGCGTAAATGTGGCGGCAAGGACGATGGTGACTCCGACGGAGCAGGCGAAGTTGTGTCAGCGCTCGAAAGTGGGGAGGTGAGTTGAGTTGAAGAAGAGCAGGAAGAGGATCGCACGCAGTTAGCTAGGGAAGAAAGAGACGCTTCTTTGGACAGCCTGTCAGCGCCCCAGGGTTCGTTTGAAGGGAAAAGGCTGCGTCGGCTCCACGCGAACTGGGATGCAAGGGAGACTTACCGCGCTGAGTACTGCAACGATGAAAGCGCACATCTCGTTGTTCAGGAGGTGAATAGGGTCTCCAAAAGAAACAAACTGCTGCGCGAGTCCAAGTGTGCCAAAAATGGCAGGAGCGTCCACTATTTACCAGAAGTGTAATGAGCCCAACTCCAATTACATAAGTAGGAAGATCTTTCTTTAGTTATTACATAAGTAGGTAAAGTGACACACGGGTAGCGTGTGACAAGGTGTCATCATCTGATTGGTTGATAGTGAGGAGCCAGACTCACTAATTGACCAATCAGGTATAGATATGTGTTTGATAGGTTCACACGAGGCCAGAGGTAGCCGCCCTGGTCCTAAATAAATCAGAGTTGAATTTGACACAAACCTAAGACTTGGTTTTACTATTGCGAGCTTCCTCCACACTATAGTGTAAGCTAGTGACGGTATCTCTTACCCCGTTACAAGACGCCCTTCCCCGCTGGCGACGTCGATACATTTGCACACACGGTTCCAGGGCCCGACGGCGTGGCGCGAAAAAAAAACTAGTGCAAGCTTCGCGGTACTGGATATCCCTTTCAATTCACGGTGGAAAGCGTATACTACAAAGGAAAATGGGTTGTGGAGGTGAAGAATACAATCTACACGCACAATCACGAGCTTACTGAGGAAGTCTACAAAAACTACGCACACAGACGGGGTGCCACTTTGCAAATCTTTGGTGGAGGATTTACGGCTGATGGTACGCGCCGATAGCAAGAGTTAACGAATTTACGAGTACATTCGTGGCCATTCTAACTACAAGGTGACGCAGCGAGACGTAACAAATCTACTGGTCAAGATTCGGATTGAACTACGCGGTGAGGCTGACGATGATCTAGCTTTTGCGGAGTTTTTACTGGAGTTCGGCGAGCAGGACAAGGACAATGTAATTAGCGCTGACGATACCTCTTCTGAGGAAACGGGCGCTATTTTCTTGTCTATCGGACACATGCGATCTGTTTTCGATAAGTTTTCCGAGCTACTGCAGATAGATTGTACGCATAAGACAAACAAGTGGGTCGGGTTCAAATTATTGACCAGATTTAAATCCAAGAGACCAATACGTTAGATACCAGGATTTAGTAATGTGAATTACCAGGTTTTCTTACAGGTCATGAAACGGGTTTAAACTAGGTTTATTACCAGTTTTCTTAAGTTTAACTGAGTTTTTTTTCTTGTGTGCGATCCAAGTACGACTATCAGCTTCGCAGTTTGATGGTTATGGACGCCTTCGACCACGGGCAGCTCGTGCATCATTCTCTGGTAGAAACCAATTCAGATTGGCACATGCAGAAGGTTATCGTGCATTTCAAGACTGCCAGTGTCGGCTGGGAAGCCCTCCGCGTCATGATGGTTGATATGGTCATGACGGAGATTTCTGTCATTCGCGAGGCGCGACTGTTCTTTTATGTCATTTTCACATGCTCAATTGTTTTCGTGGAGTGGTTTGGGAGGCGCTATTTGGTCGCTATTCGCCAAGCGAGTACGAATCGATGGGTCATCTCTTTGCGAATTTGGTGGATGCTACATCAGAGGATTACTACAAGAAAACTTTGCGCTGTTGGAGAAATTTCCGTGCGCCCGGCAACGTGTCATTATGGGAATATTTCTGCGAAAATTGGAACGAAACCAAGGACATGTGGACTCATGATAGACGACAAGCCCCTCCTTACTTCCGGAACATCACGAATAATCGCATAGAGTCGAATTTCGGCAAAATCAAACTCGATTTAGACTCTAGTTATACTATGAGAGAGTGTTTGGAGTCACTCATGAGGAGTCAACGTCGGATGGAAAACGAGAGTTTGGCCCGTGTGTCTTTTGAGGGGGAAAGGACGCATTACGGATACGATGAGGAGCTGAATCTGGCTCTCCGCGTCTGCACCCCATGGGTCGCATCCACTTTACATCCAGAATTCAATTTCTCAATATCCGATGAGGCGGCTCGTGTATACACGTTCAAGGGAGCGAGCGAGTAACACGCTGGTGGCTGAGCGGGAGCTGAAAAGATACTCGTTCAGCAAGGGTGATTGGATCTGCGATTGTGATTTCTCGGCGACCCTCAAACTTCCTTGTCGTCACGTGATTTGCTTCCGCCGCTGCACAGGTTTGGTTCATTCTATTCCTGTGATGAGCATCCACGATGGCTGGTTGATTAAGGTGTCAGGGCCTGGTGCAAACCTACCTCGGATGAATCTTTTCAATTTCTCGAAAAGGATCCGGCCTACCGCCGAGTATAAGACGAACGCAATGCTTGATTCTATGAAAAAATGTATTTCGAGACACTTGCTCAATTGAATCGCGTAAGAGATGATGGACTTGCCGACGAGAGAATTATCGAATGAGATGAAGTTTCTGGATGGGTACCTACGCCGTTTACGCTCCGATGGTTCCGATACTATCTCGAATCCTGAAAAGGAATCTGCTTTAAATTCTGAAAAGAAATCTGCTCGGAATCATGACAATAATCCTGCTAGAAACCCTTGGAAAAGCTCTGCAGACAAACCTGCTTCATCACCTGTCGCGCGAGATGTGGAGGACTGCGACTCAACGTGCTGTTACAATGGTCAGCCAGACCACTACAATAACCGCCTGTCTCACAATATCTATCGATCGTGACGAAACTCGTCCTGGTGGGGGTTGTATGGGATAGATAAAATGAAGCCCACCAAGCAACAATAACTAGATGGAAAGAGGCCAGTGGGAGTCAAGACGGTCAAACGGACAGAGCAAAAGACACAATCGTCACCTCCAATTATGGTGGCTACCATGACGAGCGGGAAGACGCTGCTTAAACAAAGCATCGAGACGGAGCACGATGCTAACAAGATTCGTTACTTTGACGACGTCAATGAAGAACAAGAATCCCATGCACGAAGTACGTGATGAATGTTAAGGATAAGGTAAGACAAAAGCGCAACTCCTATTTATAGTAGCTGAAACGGGTTGACGTAGCCAACAATATATGGACTGTGAATGCAGGAGCTGGTCACGGTTTAACCCCTGATCGAGGGTAATTCACTGTGCATTCATGTATATACATATACGGGAATGGTAAACGTCGAAAAGTGTTTTAGCAGGGAAAATACAGCTTAATGCTTT